GAACTCGAAGAGCCATACATACACGTAAATCATTCTTTGTAAATAGGTTTTATGAATAAAATAAACTGGAACTAGAAATGATTCTATTATTTGTTAGGTAACTGCTTAATTTTGTGTACGAAAAAATCCATCCGAAAAAGTTCCTAAATAAGAAGACCAATTCTGATTTTCTGCGTCTAGAAATTTTGCACATCTTTCCCCTTTATTTAAATTTTCACATTTGCATTGTATTGATAGTCTATGAACTGTTAAGATTCCAAATTTCAACTCTGATATTTCATTAAAATACGCAAATTCCGATGATATATTATTTATTGTATTGGACGTTTTCTTTAGCAGAACGCCTCTCTGTTTTAAGCATTTATTTATAAGGGAATCTTCTACTGTTGATATCAAATACAACGGCAATTGATCTAAATAAATAAAAAATATATACTTATTATTCCTATGAAGTAATCAAAAATAACTTTTAAAGGGTAAATGTCGTTTTATCTAATAATTACCTTGGGAATCTACAGACCCTTTCATACTTTTGTTGATACATTTTAAATCATTTTCCAATAATATTTCGGTATCGGTAGTGGAGGGCACCCAGTATGTCACAAGTATTAAGTCTATTCCTGTGCTATTTTTGTGTAATGGTTTAACAAGATTTCCTAAAATCACAATTACATGTGAAAGAATAAGTGAAATGATATAATAATATTTTAAATTACCAACTGTAGTTGTTCTTGGTACTTTGTGAACTGTTTCTTCTTTTGTGCTTCTTTTACTCCTCCAAAAGCCACCATCTTTTCTCTCTCTCATTTCATTTTCTGATTCTAAATCCCAAAGTGTATAGGACACATTAGAGTTTGTTTTATTTGCAACATTGAATTCAATAAATTTCTTTCCTTCATTTGATGTTTCTTGTGGATTCAGGTCGCGTACCTCAAACTTGGATTTTTTAAGTTTGTGGTTTTGATTTTTAAAGTAGGTTTCTCGTAAAATTTGATTGGGCAATGTATTTAAATCTGTTAATAGTCTTTTCTGCGAATTTTGCACGTTTTGATAATCATACACGCCATATTTTTTGTCAGCTAAATTTTTCTTTAACGCTTTTCCGTGTCGTCCCTTCTTACCCTGACCTTTGGAATTATTTTTATTAACCTTTTTCTCTTCTGATTCGGAGATAGTTTCGGCGTTTTCGATATTGGTTTTACTTCTAGGATCCCTGTTATTCATATTTCGTCTTGAATTTAGTAATTTCATGTTTGAATGTAATGCATTTCGATTTTCAGGGCCCTGTAAATAAGCATTATCATAGTCTGAATCCAGATCATCGTCTCCTAACATATTTTGGGGATATGAAGACCAATCTTCTGAAGGTTGTTCGTAATCTGAATCAAAATCTGGTTGTTCTTCACTTATATGTTGGTGCTGTTTTTTATTTTGAAAATATTTTTCATTTTTTGAATTCGATTTTTTGGGCACTGAAGATGATAAGTCTGGAATATTGTTATTCTTATGTCGAAAATTCGACCCGTCTCTGTACTTATTAGGGGACTTATTACTGTCATTTATTTCATCTATTTTCACCTTTTTGACACTGGGAATAACACCAACTTCTCCATGTTTCAGAAAATATTCCCTTGCCTCATCTACTGGACTTAAAATTTTGCTTGAATTGAAAAGGTCATTTTCTGAACTATAAATTTTAAATCCAGGTGGTTGATCAAATTGGCTGAGGGCGTAAATGTTAACTACCGTAGTGGAATTGTACCTTAGAAGACACAAATCCGACTGCGTTTGCTTTTTAATTTTTACGTCTATGGGTTCATCGTCTGGTCTATTAATAAATTGAAAGATGTCTTGGGAGCCCTCATGATTCTTACAATCTCCTGTCCAATACAAGAACCAATCATAACCATACTTGTCCGTCTGTATCGTCAATCCTCCCATTTGGGCACCCACCGTGTCGATAAATGGATCAGTATAAATTATGGGTTTCCCAGTTTTTCCGTCCAATATAAATGTTTGGGAATAATAGTAAACGGGGAAACCAGGACCCTTCTGGTACTTTATCAAAAAATCAGTTACGTTATCATTATTAAAGTAACCAGGAACAGGCACGCTCAGTGTTTCTGAATTTGGAATCGTATAATTCCACAATAGTTTTAAAGTTTTCCCGTTCACAGCAATAACTGTGCTATTGAATATTGCACTCACAATATCTATTATACCATCCCCTGTTATGTCTACTAAAACTGAAGGAGACAAAATCCCTTTGTTCTGGTCTTTGTAAAGGACTTGGGAAGCGCTAATATTGCCAATTAAGAGATCTTTCAAATTTATTAGATACAGAGCACCACCGGTTGTTAAACTTCCGGTGCCGAATAAAATTGAATAATCTCCATCAGTTTCAACCAACTGTGGTTTGCAATAGCTGGCTATTTCTCCGTCAGGGGTTGAAATTTGCTGTAGAATAGTACCATTCTTTCCTGAAATTACCATGAGGTGCCCTACTATAACATCTTTTTCGATTGAATGTGTAGCTACGATGTCGGAAATGTTATCATTATCTAAATCCGGAATAATAGTAGGTTGATAAACGTTAATTTTTGAAGAAGAAATAGACTGATCATTCAAGAGGTCCCACATAAGACTACCGCTCTTGGAATTAATCAGACGTAATAATCCGCTTTTTCCAGCTAATAAACAATCAGAAATATTGTCACCATTAAAATCAGCCGTGCATATTATGTCGAAAACTGGAACAGGCAACCAGTGCTTCCATAATATATTACCATTTGTGCCATTTAATGCCATTATTCCCCCACCACATGGCTCTGATGTATTCATAAATATGGGGCAAAATATATCAGAGGGTACTGTATCATCATTTCCTTTTTTTAAAAAAATATTGTGAATATTTTCTTATTAAATATACAAATTGAGTACCTGTGCTAAATCCAAATATAACATCATCCACACCATCGTAATCTACGTCGACAACTCTCACAGCCGTTTCGGAAGTCAGTTTAGGAAAATCAATTTTCCAAATTTCTTTTATCTCAAAACTACTACATTGCACAACTTTCTTTTGCGATTTTGTGTACGAAGACTTTAGTGCGATCCAATTTTTAAGTTTGTCAATAGGTAACGGAAATAACGACACCAAAATAATTACCAACGCAATTAATCCTACAAATGAACGTAAAAATAATTTTCCCTGTGTAAATTTGTATGAAAAGTTCCTACCTACTAATGCCGCTAAAGTTAATAAAGCACACCAAAGTGGTTTACAAAATGCTTTACATGATTGTTTGTTTCTTATTCTAGTAGAAATATTACTGGATTTTGTTATTTTTCTTCTAGGAGCCATCAAAGGTTTCTTTACACTTATATCTTCAAACTGAAATAGTTAAAAATGATAAAATTTACACTTATTTAGAATTTTCGTAATTATTGCACAAGTAAATGATAAACAACTGTAGGTATTTACATAAAAATAAACTCCAGGCTATTTTATATTCAAAACAACAATTGCATAAAATTATGAAGCTATTTTTGTACCTTGTAACCCCTTTTGCCATCTCTAATAAATACTTCATCCTCGATATCACTAAGATCGTCTTCGTCCAAAGACACACTTTCTCTAACTTCTCCTGATAAATTCATTTTGTTATTTGTTTCAAATTTTTCTCCAACGTAGTACGTTTTATAAAAACCCAACGTTTTGATTTTTAAAGTGGCATTTCACTTTTTGGAGAACTTTCTGTTATTTATATATATTTGGTTTTAATGAATTATTTCAGTGATTAAAGTTTCATAAAAAAGTTTATTTTCAACAAAACAATACAGTGTTTTTATGGGAACATATGTAAAGATAGCCATATTACTTTACTAGAATGCTCATGCTTAAAAATATTGATTTATTAGGTGATGGAGATACAATGCATACATTTTCTATTTGACCAATTAAGTAATTAAAATGGTTGTTTTTTAAATTAAAACTAGAAAAATATAATTAACAGTTGTCTTCTTTTACTTTTCTTCCAGGGTCAATGAATAGTAATCGATTTTATGACATGCTAAAATAAAAAAAAAATTGAGTTTATTTATAATGTTTCAAATACACCGAAACATTGAATCATTGTTTTTTTGAAGTAAATTTTTAAAGTTTACTATTTTAATGTCCATATTCAAAATTAATATAAAACGCAATGACTGACAAGGAAAAAATCAGAGATCAAAATCGTTATATATATATACGAGATTAAAAGATTAAAAGAACAATTCACAAGTAAAAAATTATTTATAACATTAAATAAGCACAAAACAAAAAAAATAACAGACTCAGCTGCCACGACCCATTGTTCTACTTAAATGTAATTTTATCATTATAAAAATCAAATTTTTCACCCAATTCTTTAAAAATTAAAGAAATTACAGAATAAAAAAGAGAAAATGTAACAAAAAAGGAAAGGCAGAAAGTTTTCAGTGTTTTTGAGAAAGATTTACTAAATAATTTAATTTTTTGTTACCTTTCTATAAGACTTGCTCTCATAGATGTTGTGATATTTGAAGGGGCCGATTCATTCAATCTAAATACAGACTCAATTACTGTCAATTCAGTAGATGTTGTATCCAGTCCTGTAAAAGCACTCCAATCATTAACAACCATCCCAGCTCCTATTACTTCACTCCCTCTGTTAACAGTTCCAGCCTAGTAGTATTAAATAACATTATTAAATATCAGATTATCTATTTGCATTTAATGGATAAGCAAGTACAAAAAAAATAAGTTGTTCAAACAGAAATGATTAATGGTCAAACAAGGAATAAAAGAGAAATAATAAATAAAGATAATTATTTTTATGTATGTTAAAAACAAATAAATTTCAATATTAATATGTATTAAAATTAAAACGTAAACTTACTGCAAGAGGCACTTGTAACAAAGAAGACAATTCTTCAAGGTATGTAATGCTGGTATTTGGATGTACAAGACCTCCTAAATTGCTCAAAACACAATATGATCCAACCAAAACATTATTTGCAATTGTTTGTCTGAATACTTCAACTTGTAACGTGTCTGCAATTATTTCTTCTGTTTCCTAAAAGTATACCAATATATCGAAATTCTCAAACATACATTTCTTATCAAACATTTTGAACAATAGATAATTAGATACAATTAAAAGCCTCTTTCATTAATTTATTACATCAATAAATTGATGAAAACTGATTAAACAGCATTCTGTGGTATTTCTTTAGCAAATCAACACATTGTTAAACAAGTAAATAAAAAATCATGCACATGTTGATTACTTTATACTGGTTTTACTTACTTTATCTAAATCAGGATGAACTAAAGCTACATAATCGTTACATGCAATTACATTGCCTAAAGCAGACAACCTTTCTTCAATTCTCTCGACTTTTACAGATTCGGGAAGGGCATTTCTTAAGTGTTGTAATTCTGTATCTAGTGTTGAATTTGGTACTAAAAGACCATTTTTATTTCCAACACACATTCTACCAATTATCCTACATCCTGCTAATGCTGCATGAACCACAGGGATTGTTTGTGACAATTCGTCTTCAAATACGCTGGATTCAAATAAAATCAATTAATGATCACTTATAAAAAACAATAAACATGCCACGTACCTGTAAAAATTCTCTGAACCTCCTATACCGACAAGACAGTATGCGTTGGTTAATTTTGCAAAGACACCTATTTCATTATTATTTTCAAATTGAACTCGAAGAGCCATTGTATCTAATGTGAGCAGTTGTACAAACAAAAATTTTTTAACAAATTAATGTATTATTATATGAAATTTCACAAGTATAACCTATTTGTTGTAGTTTTTTAATGTTTAATGTGCTTACCCTTTCCACACTAAAGTTTTAACAAATTTCCATACTTTTTGAAAAATATAACATCCATACCATCTTTTACTGTTCATAAAGACTTTATCCATACTTACCGGAGACATTTTAATTAATCCAAATGGCGGATGCTAGCCGAAAATTAATTTTACAAATATTGTTTAAGAAAATTTTTGGTATTTTTTTTATCCATGTTTTATTATTATAATATTCAGTAATCAAACAGAAAAACGCTAATTCATACAGTATTACTCACAACAATTTAAAACTGCAACAGTACTGATTTAAAATAAAATTTAAGGCCCCGCTTCTAGCTTTAACTAAGTATAATATTTTAAATTTTATCAAAAATTTTGGGCATCCTATAACAGTATATAAAAATTTAAAGTATATATTAAAACAAATTTGCAGTTTCTTTTTCATTTCATTACAAACATCTTTAAATTTTTCTAATGTTAAAACAAAAATTACATTATGTATCTATGTTGAATAAACTAGAAATCGTTTGACAATTTCGGTAGTTTATATTTACCTATGTAATTTATTGATCAAACAATTTCATACAAAACGCGTTTTATTTCGTATTTAAAATTGTCATTTAATGTCAAAGCATTTTAAATTGTTTTAAATAGATATTTATTTAAGTGCCATAAAAGGGCTACAAAATGGTAGGAGTAAAAATTGTAGAACAGCGTCCAAATGATTTTATTTACGGTATATTAAGAATAATGTACATAGCTTATAAATATACGCACTCATTTTCGTTTTTTAAGATCCCATTTTTACTGTATCGAGTGATAAAGATTTTTTAAAGGCGCAAATGAAATCAAGACTCTCCACGATGCAACTTGTAAGAATTTAGTGTAGTATTTTCTTTTTAGTTAAGAAAACTTATTCATGAATATATTTTGTAGGCCATATGCCCTATTTTTCCTACTATGTTTTCCGATTTAGCCCAATATCCAAGGCAACAATTTGTCGTTCGGCAGCCGACTCTACCCGCAATTTTTAAAAATATTACAGGTATACGAAGAACTGTAGTAAGTTATGATTTTCCCAAAAACGTGGACATTGAAGGAAGAGATAGATGCAAATTCTTTAGTCGGTTAGTCCTTTTATTAAATACAAAAGATAAGTAATTGGTATGTCCTGCGATAAAAATATTAGAATAAAATCAAAAACCAAGAAATTAAAAAAATTCTAATATGTTTTTCTTAAATTAAATTAAATTATATGCTCCTAAAGTAATATTTTAGGCCTAAAAGTCCCAAAATACCACCCCTTCCTTTAAATGCAACTCGTCCCTGTTCTTGCCAGAGTATTGAAAGTAGTGATGAAAGCGAGTCTAGAGTAAAATTATGTGCCGACATGGGAATACAAACTCGTTACAGAGAATCTTCAGCTCAAACTTCACCCTGGCAACCTGACTATAAGCTTATGGAAGATTGTGATCCCGAGATATTAAAATTGGATTTCTTAAAGTGGGGTATGTAAATATCCACGGTGAGATCACAATAAAACTTAGTGCCTTTACTAATCTTTTTAAAAACGAAATTAAATAATGTCAGTATTTCTTCCATCTGAAGAAGCCACTGGTGTAATGCGGTCGAATGTTCGCGCGGTGCAACGGTTCAGCTGTGCGCGGTGCAACGGTTCAGCTGTGCGCGGTGCAATGGTCGGAAAATGATCATTTTAAGAACTTAAAGCATCATCCCCTTTATTCATTCCTTTGCTTATTATTCTGATATTGTGTTTATTTATTGCCTTTAAAAATTCGAACATGTGGTTATTAGTCGAGATTCTAACTGAAATTATTTTGAATCGATACTTGCTACTTTTCCAAATTTAATGGTACATTACACAAATATTTAGGTAATAAACTTTCCCTACTTTGAAGTATTTTAGAACGCTTTTGTTGGTTAATAACTTATGCCAAGTGATAGGACCTTTCTTCGGCACTTATACCGATAATTAAAAACGACACCTCTCTACAATGAGAAAACATAATAAGATTGTGATTATTTGAAGTTCAATGTTTGGGATAGTATTTTAAAATATGACTTAAAAGGTAGCGGCTTGCCAGCTGGTGAACACGAAGTACAACTTATACAAAGAGCTAGGATGAAAAGGAAATGGGAAGAATCCATGCCCCCCGTTATCGACGAAGAAACATTGAAAAAACGGCAAGAAATTATAAAAGCTATCGAAATTAACGAATGGGCTTTTAGGGATCAGGTATTGGAAACTGAAATAGATTATAACAAAATTTGTTCGATTTTATTACTGTGTGCAGGAAATTCAGGACATACAGGACTTAAGACTCGAACTTCTCGAGCAAATGCTAATCGAGTTGCACAAAAAAAGCAAAACTAGATCGGAACAAAAACTTGAATTCTATACCAAAATTAAGGAAGCAGAGAAAAATGAAAAAATATCTAAATTGAGGCATCATGCTCAAAGAGGCACGTATAAAAAATTATTTTTTATTTAAATGCAAAGCTTACTAATTGTTACATATTAATTTTCGTAGAACTCAGAAAATTAAGAATGCGAAAAGAAGGAATAAACAAGAAATTCGGTTATGTGGACGTAGTTACAGAACATGCGGATAGAAAATCGGAATTGTATGGGCCCCAAATGAGACACGGGGAACATCCAAAGAGATGGCACCAAGTTATTGACGAAAGGATGAAAATGTACAAAGCTCGTTTCATAGGTAAGTTCAGGCAGACAATCATTTTTGTATATACATTTCATGGATTATATTTATTTAAGGTGTCGAAAATATTCCGGTTACACCAGATTGGATAGACGAAATTACAAAATCGAAAAAAGATTTTTCACCTGAACTTCCTGGCACACGTCTATGCATAAGGGAAACTAAATGGACGATACCAGTGTTAAAACAATGGTACGAAGAACTAAAAAGTTTGAGGATCGAAAAGAAGTCGAAGTGTACTTTGAGGGAAAAGTTATTAGACAAACCGGAAACACCTCTTACTCCTGATATATCAGGCATTGACGATGACTTTGAGCATTTATTCCAAGCGGTTATTGTCCTGCAGAAAGTTTTGAAAGGAAGAGCTTCCCAAATTTTGGTAAAAAAACTTTCCTTTTAATTAACTTCGTTTTCTCTTTTAGAAAAACTTCCTTGGTAATTATAATATAAAGTTTCTGTTAGTAATTATAGTTCTAACCAGTAAGTTAATGTTCAAAGGTTTCCTTTTCTTTTGGTACGCTTATATTTGATCCATGACTGGTCTGATTGAAATGTTTTTCCTCTTTTTAAGATTTTTGAAGGTCGGGACACATGCAGGGAGTTAATACGTGAATTACGAACAACACATGGTTTAAGAATGGAGGATAAGCAGGAGAAACAGGAACAACGCCTTGAAGTAATGTCTCAGCAAAGAGATCGAAAGAATTGCCAGATAAAGGTAAGTAAACAGTAAAAACCAAACAAATGGGATCATAAATTTGTTATTTTTCATATGGGCGAGAGGTGATATTAAAAGGGGATTGTGCATTTTCCATTCAAAGCACTGATTTCTTATTGGTGTATCCAAAGGTACCAAAATCGTCCAAATGGAGTAACAAAGTTTTCGAAAAGTTTTTTATAAAAAGTGTTTTCTATACACATGTTTTCATAACTTTTCCATTTACGATTAGATTGATACAGTACAAGAAGATTTAGCTAGACTTGCCGGTGGTATCGTCGGAACTCTGTTAGACTTCCTAAATAAAGCCTTACAGAAACTTCTAGACGAAAGAAAGGCTCATGCACTTTGCTTATATATTGAAAGGGAACGTGCAAAAAGGGAAGCCGCAGAAGCTGGCCGTAGACAAAAAGAATTGCGGAGGATGAAAGAACATGACGAAATGTTCAAACAGGTTCGCACTTAAATTATCTTTTTATAGCAGAAGGGACAATACAGCAAATCAACTACTTTTCAGATAGTAAAAATCCATCAAGAAACAGTGGATCTTTACCTGCAAGACATATTGGTAGAAGGAATGGAGTTTTCTTCGGACGATGATGCTAAATATTACATTAAAAAGTTAGCTGACCAAGTCGATGACGAGGCATTTAACAGCCAAAAAAGGTACCAAATATACCATACTTTTTCTGAACGCACCTACCCTTAAACGTTGTTTTTTTTTATTTATTTCAGCCCCAATATATTGGAGGAAGAAGAACTAATAGCTGATCTTTTTCATAACTTTGTATTGCCGGATGTAGAAAAGAAAATTTTAAGAGAGAAAATGAGGAAAAGACAGCAAGCACGACTGAGATCTGTTCATGATGAAATTTACAATAGAGTGGATGTATTGGACTTCTCTAAGGGTAAGGGTAAAAGTATTAGTGGTATAGCAGCGATAAGTTACTACTTTAATGTTGAATTTATTGTTCAGAGGAAAGTGAAATAGAACCTCTTCCCGAAGATATGCTGGCCCAAATTCTGGAGTACCTTAAAGAACAAGAAAAAGGACCGGCTTTGGAAGGCGAAGGAGTGACAGGTATGTTTCTGCTTTAATTCTTTCAAAAAAATACATCTCGTTTTATTTCACAGATACACATCCTGTTGTTGCTGACTCTTGGTCTCAGCAACACCAAATATTACTGGAGAGTATAGCCACTGAGGTAGAACAAATTCTGGAAGCTGTCACTGTTTCCACAGTAGTAGAACCAACTACTCAAGAATTACAAGGTAATTTTTATTAATAAATTTAGTAAGTAGGTACTTAATAATTATAATTTCAGAAGAAATTGTTGATACTGATGAAGTAATAAAAGAAGAAACCGTTGATGCTCCAGAAGTAAAAGAAGAAATTGTTGATACTTCAGTGATAAAAGAAGAAACTGTTGATGCTCCAGTGACAAAAGAAGACACTGCTGATGCTTCAGAAACAAAAGAAGAACCTAAAGAAAAACCTGCTGAAAAGGAAGAGCCGAGTGCTGTGACCGAATCAGAGAACCAATGAGTTACATCCCAATTTTTTATTAGATAATACAATCAAGAAATTATATGCAATATTTATCAAATATACATATACATATGTAATTAGGCACTTTAAATTATTCTTTTACTTCTTCAATTGGATGAAGTACCTATATTACATCGTGCTTAGGACACATAGGTACCTATATTAAATCTCGGTATCCTATGTTCATTAATAGTGCTACTCATAAGTGCGTAATTAAAACGCGCACCATATAATTAATTTATTTTTGTGAAATGAAGACGAACGAGTACCTGTATCGTATGTATATGGTCGTGAGTGGTACCAAATGAATGTGTAGAAACCTTAAAAACATGGAAAAGGCTTTTTTTTGTAGGACTGTTCACGTGAGTAAAAGTCCTACGTAGCGAGACAAAAAGCGGTTCAGGATTTTCTAATTTATTTTTTTTAAGTAGTTTAATTAGTTGTAGTGGTATGGTTTGTTGGACAGGAAAAGAATTAATAACATTATTCAGATACTTTATTTACAGAAAGCTATAAATTACAGCAAAATAAAAAAGTTTACTATCACAATACTCTAATGAAGTTTGACAATGTTTAAAAATGATGAGAATCAAGAAAATTAATATCATTTCTTTCCTATTTTATTATTTGCGTGCTTCCGTGGGGCCCACCTTAGAGCACTGCTGTCAACACATAATCGAGGTCTCTTGTACTGACTTGATCTAATGTGTTCATCTACCAGTTTTGGAGTTACACATATAACATGCTGCCCTTTCCAATATTTTACCATATTCATACTTTGAAGGGTCGATATAATATCAGTCTGTGTAATACTGGTCATTTGACTGAAATTAAAGCAATTTATTGAACATATCAAAGAAATTAATTAGGAATAAGGTATTTATACCTTAAATCTTTAATAGACAGTGTTCCTCTAAAGTCCCTCAATATCTCTAACAACACCCAACTCCAATAACTCCTGTAACTTAATTTACCTAAGTCACTTAAGGGTTGTTCAGGACTTCCCACTGTCCCTTCTAGCCTTGAGAGTTCATAACTAAATGCAATAAGTAATTTCCCATATCCTTGTCTTTGGTATGGTGGCAAAGTTAGTATACAAGCAACATTGTTACCATCTGGAGATTCTTTTTCCTAATAATAAATAATAATGAAAAATGTCTATGAAACAGCTTATAACTTGTAATAATGTATCTCTATAATCTATACATTTGTTTATTCATTGTCAAATAAAAAAAGAATAGGTACAGTACAAATTAAGAAATGAGAAGCTATTACCTTAGAAAAGTATCCCACAATGTGAGCACCTTGCTTATCAACTTCACATAAAATATAGAATAAAAACGGTTCCACGTCAAAATATAGTGTTTTATGGTCTAAAAATAATTTGGCAAGTAAACATAAATTTTGACAGTAAATCTGGAAGAGAATATCAACAATAAAATATTATAATGCTGCATACAAATATTATCACATACTTTGTGATCCTTCCCATCCACTTCATAAACTGAAAGGGTTCCTTTTCTATATATTTCTTTCCCAACAGGTTGTCTCCAAGTACATTCACTCTAAACATAAGAATAAAAAGAATAAATAAATAACACAAAAGTTAAAGCTTAATTTAAAAGAAATTTATGTTTAGATCACGCTATGACTAAAAAGGAAATAAAATTGCTGGGAGAGGGAAGATTGGGGAAAATTTTTGAGCAAAAGTATAAAAAAGGAGTCTCAATAGGATTGTTGTATTATTATGATAAAATTTTCATTCATTAAAATTCTTACCATGTGATACCTATAACTCTTCTCCAATCTCATATATTTCAGACAATATTCACAGATCCACAGTTTGCTTTGCCTTCCGTATTCATCTGGATAAGGACTAAAATACCATGTGTCAATCTCAAATCTTCCAATTTGAATTTTGTCTATGTATTTTACTTTTGTAATTTGTTCATGTTCTTTTTCTAGTGCAGCTGTAGTGGGGTCCATTTCAGCATATCTATAAAAACAAAAATAGGTAGGTATAATGTGCACAAGAAAGGTTTCTTTTGTACTGACGTTTTTTGGATATGATTAATTTCATCATGTCTTCTTTTCTGATTTCTGGTTATCTTACGGTCAGTGCTGTCATTCAGTAAATCAGTAACTACAGGTCTGTCTTTCCATATCTTATCATTGAGACCCTTTCCCCCTTCCGTTAGATGAAATCTAGCTGACATAATTCTACCCCTAGGTACCTAAAAGATACATAAGCAATTAGGTGAGCAGTTTCACAATATTGTTTCGAGTATTTACCCATTCATCAAGCCGCCTATTATATCCTTCGTAATGAACGTAGTACTCATATTGTTGTTCATTTTCATTAAATCTGGTTTGAATTATCTCAGCAGGATCTGAAACAAAGAAATAATGTATTTGTAATTGAACATTGAGGTTATAAAATCTACTAACGCCAAGATTCATCTGATCTTCTCACTAAATAATGTTCTCCTATGTCCAAAGGTTGCTCTTCAACACTTTCATTATCTTCGTCGTGAGGTAAATTAGTTTTATGATCATTTTCTGCTTTTTTCCCCATATTTTCGTTTGAGCTTGTTGTTTCCACTTTCAAGCCATCGGCCATTTTGGTTATTGTTTTTTGGTTTCTGTCTTGCAAATGATAAATGCTGTCTATCTCTGTCCAACTAACAGAAAACAATGTTTTTGATTATATTTCTAAACGTAGCATGGCGCCATCAGTCCGCTCGCTTATTTTAATATTTCTATTTTCTGCTATGACGTGGCGCTAATAGTCCATGGGCTTGATTAATTTAAAAACGCTGAATAGTTATTTAATATTATATATAAATGAAATTATGAGTGCTATTAGCACAGGGCAAAGTAGTATTATCATTGATTTCTGTACATCTATTATAAAACCATAATGGCCGACATCAGTAACAATGTGCAACAACTGAAAAAGAATGATGGCCGACAACTACAACAATTAGAAAAGAATGATGGCCGACAACTGCAACAATTGGAAAAATGATGGCCGACACTACGTCATAGTGGATCAATAAAAATGGCCGGGGGCAGGGGGAAGATTGAGTTCTTTTTGATAACAATAAATTAATGCAGACGTTGCAATCATAATATTATANACAAGTAAATGATAAACAACTGTAGGTATTTACATAAAAATAAACTCCAGGCTATTTTATATTCAAAACAACAATTGCATAAAATTATGAAGCTATTTTTGTACCTTGTAACCCCTTTTGCCATCTCTAATAAATACTTCATCCTCGATATCACTAAGATCGTCTTCGTCCAAAGACACACTTTCTCTAACTTCTCCTGATAAATTCATTTTGTTATTTGTTTCAAATTTTTCTCCAACGTAGTACGTTTTATAAAAACCCAACGTTTTGATTTTTAAAGTGGCATTTCACTTTTTGGAGAACTTTCTGTTATTTATATATATTTGGTTTTAATGAATTATTTCAGTGATTAAAGTTTCATAAAAAAGTTTATTTTCAACAAAACAATACAGTGTTTTTATGGGAACATATGTAAAGATAGCCATATTACTTTACTAGAATGCTCATGCTTAAAAATATTGATTTATTAGGTGATGGAGATACAATGCATACATTTTCTATTTGACCAATTAAGTAATTAAAATGGTTGTTTTTTAAATTAAAACTAGAAAAATATAATTAACAGTTGTCTTCTTTTACTTTTCTTCCAGGGTCAATGAATAGTAATCGATTTTATGACATGCTAAAATAAAAAAAAAATTGAGTTTATTTATAATGTTTCAAATACACCGAAACATTGAATCATTGTTTTTTTGAAGTAAATTTTTAAAGTTTACTATTTTAATGTCCATATTCAAAATTAATATAAAACGCAATGACTGACAAGGAAAAAATCAGAGATCAAAATCGTTATATATATATACGAGATTAAAAGATTAAAAGAACAATTCACAAGTAAAAAATTATTTATAACATTAAATAAGCACAAAACAAAAAAAATAACAGACTCAGCTGCCACGACCCATTGTTCTACCTTATACATCTATGAGTGAAGGAACTTAACCTATTATTTTTTTGAAACAACAAGAATAAACATGGAATAAACCATGAATACACGGAATAAATTCAATGTATGTGAAATTTAACTTAATTATTTTATTTGTTATCTTGTATTCCATTTATTAACGTGTTTAATTACTGTAGATGTGTGCTGTTTTACTAGAATTAATTAAGTCAAAATCAGAATTGTGTTTGTATTCAGAAGAAATAAACACTAATGTTGCCCAAACATTTAAACAGTGTTTAGAGGAATGTTACAAACAGAATCAGGATATAGACAAGAATTTAGAAATGAAAATAGAATCAGTGATTGATTTCTTGTATGAAGAATTAAATACTGGTCATTGGAGTGAAGTGCCTCTTAATATTAGACGTGCTTACAGTTCAGCATCTTTTGTTAAAGTATTTACATTTACAATGCTGTATTTTATATTAAAATCTTTAGACACAGTATTTTTTAGGCAATAATATTATTAAAGTATGATAAATCTGGAGAAGGTATTAAAAAAGCATTAAAATGTATAGATATGGGTATTTTGCTAGGTGCTCCTTTGGGGTATAATCAAAATCTTTTAATAGATAGTGCTTCACAGTTGATGAAACTTTTAAATAATAGTGAAGAGTGTACAGGAGTTTGCCCAGAGCCAAGTTCACAGGAATTAGAAATACCTGAACCAAAAAGATATAAAGTTGATAACTCAGAAAAAGAAAATTATATATATTGTGAAGGGGTTGAAATTCCTACTGAAGACTGTCCATCCTTGCAACATTTCAATAATAAATATTTTATGTCACAAGTACCTGTAAAAATAAGAGGTACTGCCTACTTGTATTAATTCATATGAATTTATNATTTGTTTATTATACGAAAACTGTCTTTCATTTCCACAAAAAAAAACGAAATTACTTTCCGAACACCCTATAGAATTACCCACATCCTTAACTATTTGCGAACAGTTAAATTTTCCAATTTCCCTAATTGCCTTATTGTCCTAATATTCCACGCTCCGACTCGTGAAATATTGTACCTACCCCTAGTGAAAAATTTTGAACAAAATACAGAAAACAGTTCTTTACTTAAAGATTACAGGAAAATTAATAAAAGGTCTATGGTCCAAACATAACGTGGTAAATCTTTCAACAAAACAATATTGTGCATACAAATTTACATTTACAATTTGAATGTTAAATTGGTTCTCGGGTTAGGGTTCCGTACGTCTGAAGAAAAATGGAACCTTTATAGTATCAAAAGTGTGTCTGTCTGTCCGTTTTTATATTTATTAATACAGGTACCTCCGCTATTCCAATTCTGTAAAATTTTCTGATAGGTTCTATCGTTCTTGTAAAATTTGTAGTTATTTGTTTGTTTGCATAGGAACCAATGTTTACATCACCTTTGTCTTCGTCGAACTTTTCAATAGTTCCAGACAATTTCATTTCTAGCACGTTGTCATTAGTTTCAAAAATATTTGCTCCTTCTCCAATCATCATCGAAACATCGTTTTGGATCTTTAGTTTGAGCAAGTGTCTTTCTTGATTGGTTTCATTGCAACTGTGCATGTTGGGGAATGTGTAATTCCCCCAGTAATTGCTTTTAAATATAATGATAAACTTTTGAAGAGACAATTTAAGGAATGTCTTTTGTATATCAAAATTTTCTGGTGAAGTGCAAACAGCTTGTTCTTGTAGAAAACAACATAAGCTTTTAGATATTTTAAACATACTGATTGATGTATTATTTAATATTGTTAAACTAAATCTATCGTAGTTAAGATCTGAAAATAAAATTATCACTCGATCTGGTATTTTGAATGCGTTTTGTTCTACAGCCTGAAAAAGATAAATAATAACAAATTAACAGAGAGTATTACAGAGGTTTTTTTGTGATTTTTGTTCAACATTCAGTGGATAACTCTTTAGTTTTTCTTTTCTTTTACTTTTTGTGTTATTTTTGTCTAACTATCAATTTCCAAAGCAGAGAAAAACAACTACAGTCAAAACCGTTTACTACGACATCGTTTAGAACAACATACTGATTATATTGACCAAAATCATAGGTCCCGGCTTAATTCTGTTAGACCGCCTTATAAAAAACACTGGTTTTTACGACATTGCTTATTACGACATATCACTTTAAGCGACTACATTTAACTGATATTTTCGGAGAATTATATCAGTTAGAACGACCTGCTCTATTCTAAACATTTGAATAGGTAACAGTATCCACATCTGGTACAGTAAATGACCATTAGTTTAGGGTCTATTGTAATTCTCAGAATATCTGTTACTGAAGCTAAGGAGTTTATTGATGCAGATAACGTCACCGGCTATAACGACTATCGGTTTTTACGACCAAATATGAGTAGTCCCTTCGGTGTCGTTATAATAGATTTTGACTGTATATATCATTAATTATTATTAGTAATTTACTTACATTTGTCATTATATTAATCATATTTTTTGTATTAGCAATAATAGCTATTGTGCTTGGAATGGGAATTATTTTACTTAATTTTTGCTTAAGATTTTTTCCATCCTTTGTTGTTATAAACAGCCTTAATCTGGGGCTATTGAGCCAGAAAAAAATAGATTGTTCAACATCTAAAATTTAATTAACCTTTTATTTATTATTACATCTGCATTAATCGGTATCAAAACAATAAGCAAGTGTTAATACTAATTACTTGTTTTGCTATTATCACTTAACTTAATTAATATTCATGACAATAGTAGATAATGACCTTATTAATTTATTTCCATATTACGAACTTATTAATTGTAACAGCGGTGAAATACCGGGGATATTAATAAAATAAACAATTTTATGAAAAATTCAATAAACAATATAGAAATAAAAACTGACAACAGCGAAAATAAGAAAGTAAAAATTATTATTAGTCACTCAAGTGAGACCTAGAATTGCGATATGTTTGCTTTTTGCGACATTACATTGAAATGTTTTGTGACAATGAAATTTCGTATTTTGACAAAAAAAGGAGTGACGAATTGTTTTCTGTCTTGACCACAGAAACTTTGACGCTAATAAAGGAACTAGTGTTAATTTTAGGAAATTAATTCGAGTAAAAACCTCGTTTCGGAAATACAAAAATAAAAGAAATTTTGAGATACCTATTGTAGAAAGTACAAGATTTACTTAACTTTCCTTCAATAAAATCTAATTGTCATTTCACTTAATATTTATAAAATATAAAAATTCGCTCAATCGTTTTTACAAAAAATTTATGCACATCTAGAATTTTTTATATACGATATTATTGAACTGAAACACAGAATTAACCATCGTTCCATAATAATTTAAGTCTGAAATCATTTTTTTGTGTTTATTCTATTTTTAAGCCAATTTGGTTTATTTTAAATTACATTTAAATCCAACTCATTTTTATTTCAAAATATATCGGGTCTTCCATGTAGAAAATCACGACAGGACCAAATTTGGTTCACGCTTGCCTAGGTTTGCTCAATTTTGGTCCGAGATTGGCAGTCAACATTGGTCCATGGACTGGTTTGTCACTTCGGCTCAGGCCTGATTAGCAAGCCAATGTCGAATCAAGACTTCAGCCCAAAACTGGACAGTTAATATTGTGACAAGACTTGATGAACAAAATTAATTGAAGATTAGGCAATTGCGTTGATTTCCATTTTATTCTATACTTCGCTGTTGACCAAACTTTGGTCCAATATTAACAAACCCATACTTGACTGCCTAGTTTTTGAGACAAACTTGGCAAAACGTTAATAAACAAAGGCTAAGCATTTAAAGATTGTCTAAACTTTGAACCAGTACTGACAAGGTGACGCTTGTCTATTTCAGTATTGGGTCAAAACTGGCGAAATCTTAATGTACCTAGGTGTGGCATTTGAAGATTGGCCACACTTTGGATCAGTATTGACATACTTGACTGCTTAGTTTTTGAGACAAACTTGGCAAAAAGTTAATAAACCTAGGCTTGGCATTTAAAGAATATCTAAACTTTGAACCCGTTTTGACAAGTAAATGCTTGTCTATTTCAGTATTGGACCAAAACTGGCAAAAGTTAACGTACCTAGCTCTAGTATTTGAAGATTGGCCACGCTTTGGACCAGTATTGTCAAACCCATACTTGACTGCCTAGTTTTTGAAACAAACGTGGAAAAACTATAATAAATCTAGACTTGGCAATTAAATATTGTATATAATTTTAACCAGTATTGACAAGGCAATGCTTGCCTATCTCAATATCGGACCAAAACTAGCGAAACGTTAACGTACCTAGCTCTGGTATTTGAAGATTGGCCACACTTTGGATCAGTATTGACAAACCCATACTTGACTGCCCAGTTTTTGAACCAAACTTGGTAAAACGTTAATAAATCTATGCTTGGCATTTAAAGATTGTCTAAACATTGCAACAGTATTGACAATGTAATGTTTGTCTATCTCAGTATTGGACCAAAACTGGCGAAAAGTTAACGTAGCTATATAGATTGGCCACACTTTGGACCAGTATTGACAAACCTTTGCTTTACTACCAATTACTGATCTAGATTTGGGCTTATCGTCACGGTTGACATTTTCTGCATGATTTTATTCTTTGTAAAATGTTAAAGAATCTTTTCGGAAGCTTTAAAAATACATGAATATTCCTTAGACAATTCAATTTGCAAATTATTACATAATCCATTTCAAATTTAAAGAGCCTGAGGTTAATTAAATTTTATTTTTAAAATTACGCTTGCTTGTTGCAATTCACGATTCCTTTGCGCTTCGTTTAATCATGTTTGCGACGCCTAACCGTTTATTGTATAACTGCATTCAATATACCGACCAAATCGTATTATCTTCTTTGAGCTACTTTCATTATTTTGCATTCAGCAATCACGGATGCAATACCAGTATGTCTTTTTATCGAAAAAGTAAAATTCATGCTCAAAATTACCTCGCCAACCACTCGTTCGAAAAACATACCGCCGCTTACTGCAGCAATAAGTAGATATGTGCAAAATGATTTTTTAAAGGTATTTAAATACAAAATGCAAATGCTTTTTCGATTTGTTATTTCAAATGTAAAATACGAAATAGATTTCACTTTTGTATTTTAAATGCTATATGTAAAATACGTATTTTTGGTCTTGAAACTTTTATTCTGCTTTATCCAAAAACCTACCAAAACGAGATCAGATTTGAAATTCAATTTTCTGTGCAAGACAAAAACTGAGTACGTACGAGATCATAGTTACTATATTTAATCTCAAACAAATCTAGACTACAAATCCTGCTATTTATTAATAGATATGTATACAGTAAGCTTATCAGGACAGCAGAGACCAAGAAAAACACCATCGTCAAGTCTCAACTAAGAATATAAAATATGTACCGAACTAAGTCCCATTTAGCTTTTGAACTGAAAATACTAATCGATATTCCAAGATTTCAAAAATTAAGTTGCCAGGTTTGATAGGCGATTCAGTATTCAAGTTATCATCTTTAATATTAATGTATGTACCTAGCTGTGACATTTGAAGATTGGCCACACTTAGGACCAATATTGACAAACCCATACTTGATTGCCCAGTTTTTGATCCAAGCTTGTCAAAACGTTAATAAACCTAGGCTTGGCATTTAAAGATTGCCNGTTTTTATTTATTGATATCTAATTGTATATGTAAATTAATACTTCTGCTGATGTTCAAATTTAGCAAATCGACTTCTAGGATAGTTATTAATGTACGAAATTTGGGGGGTTAAATTTCTATCGGGAATAAGTTCTAGAGTGTTCCCAATTGTGATAGTTTTTTTATTTGAAAGTTTGCATTTTTTTGCGTTTCTGTTCTTATTAATAGGGTGGACGTAGCACTGTTTTGGTTTCAGTTTATAGTATAATACTTCACCCACTAATGTAACCATAGCTAACGCCAGCCCAAAGAGTGTTGCTATGAACACTCCGCCTATAAAAATAACATAAAATTATAATATCATGTTTCATAATAATTTAAAATGAAAATAATAATTTAAAATGAAATTATCGATTTACCTAAACTTTCTAATGTAATTCCCTCATTTTCGCTAGTATTGGGGCAGTTTTCTTGTATAGAATTGTTCCAGTATTTCGATTGTAAATATTCTAGATAGCGAATCTTTTGAAGATCCAAAATTCTGAAGCAGTTTTACCGGTCAATTTATTTAATTTCCTTTTTAGATAGATAAAGTGGCTTACGCTAAACTTAAATCGTCTTGTAAGTGACTTCCTTGTTGGATAGCAACAGCGTAAGGTTTAACTGCAAAAACTTCACCAACTTCGGTCAAATTACAGTTTTTGGTAATTTCGTATTTTATCTCAGACGAATCGTGAATAAAAGCAAAGTCAGCGTCTGTTCGTTCATTTACTTTACGAAAACCTTCACTTGCCGATTTTAATGGTATAGAATCGTTTATAGCAATTAGAATGTGACCGTACTGTTCTCTGATCGGGTAATCCCAGACTCTGTATCGGGAGTCATCGGGGGACGAATTTAATGTTAATTCTTTCCACATTCTGCAACATAAAATTGTTTCTATTTATCTACATGTTGCACCAAAATGTAATAAATGCAAATAATAGCAAGTAAATTAGACTGGAACGAGTAGATGTGTGTTGTGGGTGATTTAGTATCAGGATTCCATGCATTTTTTTTTCCTTTTAAGGTACAGGACCTTAAAAAGTACCTGTACAACGTATCCTCCGCGTATTTCATATTTATAAAATACTTATGGGTTTGAGAGCTTTCCACGACTGTATAATTTATCCTAGATTGCTTTGCCAACTGGTCCAATGATTGTACGGGTGTCTACAAAAAAGTGGTCAACAAAATTATATATCTAAATAAACAAAAAATTAGTTAAACAATGAATGTACTAGATACCTGCATCCTTTCTACTGTTAAAAAAGCAGCTAAATTAGCAGTAAATGTTGCAAGTACCAGGACAACAAACAACCAATAGGCAGCTACCAGTGTTCGTCCTGATAGGGATTTCGGGGCTTCCCCACCTCCTTGAGGCGTAAAAGAGGTTAAAGCAAACCAAAAGCTCTCTTTTAAAGTAAAATCTCTAAAAAAAATAGGTATAATGATTGTAATCGTTTTATTATTTTTTCCTTGTCGATTCGCTCGAACAATTAATTTTCTCTAAACATTTAAAGTACGACTCTTCCAGGCCCTGGCATTGTAAAATGTTTACTAATAGATATTAAATAATTACATATTTTATTACACTGTGTACCTATACAGAAAAGTTTTTATAATTAATTACTATTTACCTGCAAGGATAATTATAAGCCTTTTTGTTATTCTTTGCGCTGTAAGGAGAGTATTTATCCAAAAACCAAATCATAATAGCAGTTAATGTTAGAGCGGCTAAAATGCTAAGCCACACTTCTAATTTTAAAACTGTCATGAATTTAAAGAGAGACGTTTTCCTCACTGGTTTCCTCATGACTAAAAACAAATTTTCCTTTCAATTTTTCGTAATATTATAATTATCCTGTTTTAACATTTACCCACCTATAGATATACCACCTTCATCGAAATAAGGGGCTACAAAATCTATAATTTCTTCCCTTGCTGCAGTCATTATTAAGTTAGTAACAACTATATCAGTTTCCTAAAATTTCAATCAAATATAAAATACGGAATGTAGTCAGAATGATACTGGATTTAATCATAAAACGAAAAGGTAAGCCATGATCTATTTTTGTTTTTCAAATGAAAAGAAAATGGAATGTACATATGGTGATAGTATACAAAATGTTAATAAGTAATGGAATTTTTATTTCAAATTTATAATTGTATGCAGCAACAATATGGCAGAAATCATAAAAGGTTTTTCTTGTTATTTTACCCCACGAACAAGGTCCCCGACTACGCCGTCCCATTCTCCAAATTCGTTTTTATTGCCATAGAATCCAACTTTAGGAATAACAAGTTCATAATCAAAATCCATAACTTCCGATAACTTTTTTATAAAATCAATGCAGAAACCCGTTAAATATTTATTTCCGGTCAAAGGATCTATTTCTGTATATGTCCAAGGAATACTCTTAAAGGCAAATTAAAAAAGGTACTTAATAAATACTGGAACCCTTATAGGATTACTGTTGTGTCTGTCTGTCCGTCTGTCAACGTCAATTTGCTCCAAATCTATTGGAGTGATTAAGTTGAAATTTCTGTGACCCAAACACGAACACATAACGTAAATAAACTAATTTTGAAGATGGGGGTCATTTTTGGGGGCCAATAGAAAATTAAAAAAAAGTTTTGCGAACTATACCGTGTGATATATCAAATGAAAGGACTTGTTGCAAGGGTGTCAAATATATTTTTATAATTTTAAAATAAATAGTTTTAAAATTATTTAACAAAATAGATTAAAAATCGCGTTTCCCTAAAACTATCGGGTTGTTCGGAAAGTCATTTCGTTTTTTCCCGACAGAGGATTTAATTGTATTCTTTTGCACCCAACTTCACNTTTGAAGATTGGCCACACTTAGGACCAATATTGACAAACCCATACTTGATTGCCCAGTTTTTGATCCAAGCTTGTCAAAACGTTAATAAACCTAGGCTTGGCATTTAAAGATTGCCTAAACTTTGAACCAGTATTGACAAGGCATTGCTTGTCTATATCAGTATTGGACGAAAATTGGCGAAACGTTAATGTACCAAGCTCTGGTATTTGAAAATTGGCCACACTTTGGACCATTGTTCCTAAGCTTGATAGGCGTTTCAATATCCAAGTTATCATCTTTAATATTAATGTATGTACCTAGCTGTGACATTTGAAGATTGGCCACACTTAGGACCAATATTGACAAACCCATACTTGATTGCCCAGTTTTTGATCCAAGCTTGTCAAAACGTTAATAAACCTAGGCTTGGCATTTAAAGATTGCCTAAACTTTGAACCAGTATTGACAAGGCATTGCTTGTCTATATCAGTATTGGACGAAAATTGGCGAAACGTTAATGTACCAAGCTCTGGTATTTGAAAATTGGCCACACTTTGGACCATTGTTCCTAAGCTTGATAGGCGTTTCAATATCCAAGTTATCATCTTTAATATTAATGTATGTACCTAGCTGTGACATTTGAAGATTGGCCACACTTAGGACCAATATTGACAAACCCATACTTGATTGCCCAGTTTTTGATCCAAGCTTGTCAAAACGTTAATAAACCTAGGCTTGGCATTTAAAGATTGCCTAAACTTTGAACCAGTATTGACAAGGCATTGCTTGTCTATATCAGTATTGGACGAAAATTGGCGAAACGTTAATGTACCAAGCTCTGGTATTTGAAAATTGGCCACACTTTGGACCATTGTTCCTAAGCTTGATAGGCGTTTCAATATCCAAGTTATCATCTTTAATATTAATGTATGTACCTAGCTGTGACATTTGAAGATTGGCCACACTTAGGACCAATATTGACAAACCCATACTTGATTGCCCAGTTTTTGATCCAAGCTTGTCAAAACGTTAATAAACCTAGGCTTGGCATTTAAAGATTGCCTAAACTTTGAACCAGTATTGACAAGGCATTGCTTGTCTATATCAGTATTGGACGAAAATTGGCGAAACGTTAATGTACCAAGCTCTGGTATTTGAAAATTGGCCACACTTTGGACCATTGTTCCTAAGCTTGATAGGCGTTTCAATATCCAAGTTATCATCTTTAATATTAATGTATGTACCTAGCTGTGACATTTGAAGATTGGCCACACTTAGGACCAATATTGACAAACCCATACTTGATTGCCCAGTTTTTGATCCAAGCTTGTCAAAACGTTAATAAACCTAGGCTTGGCATTTAAAGATTGCCTAAACTTTGAACCAGTATTGACAAGGCATTGCTTGTCTATATCAGTATTGGACGAAAATTGGCGAAACGTTAATGTACCAAGCTCTGGTATTTGAAAATTGGCCACACTTTGGACCATTGTTCCTAAGCTTGATAGGCGTTTCAATATCCAAGTTATCATCTTTAATATTAATGTATGTACCTAGCTGTGACATTTGAAGATTGGCCACACTTAGGACCAATATTGACAAACCCATACTTGATTGCCCAGTTTTTGATCCAAGCTTGTCAAAACGTTAATAAACCTAGGCTTGGCATTTAAAGATTGCCTAAACTTTGAACCAGTATTGACAAGGCATTGCTTGTCTATATCAGTATTGGACGAAAATTGGCGAAACGTTAATGTACCAAGCTCTGGTATTTGAAAATTGGCCACACTTTGGACCATTGTTCCTAAGCTTGATAGGCGTTTCAATATCCAAGTTATCATCTTTAATATTAATGTATGTACCTAGCTGTGACATTTGAAGATTGGCCACACTTAGGACCAATATTGACAAACCCATACTTGATTGCCCAGTTTTTGATCCAAGCTTGTCAAAACGTTAATAAACCTAGGCTTGGCATTTAAAGATTGCCTAAACTTTGAACCAGTATTGACAAGGCATTGCTTGTCTATATCAGTATTGGACGAAAATTGGCGAAACGTTAATGTACCAAGCTCTGGTATTTGAAAATTGGCCACACTTTGGACCATTGTTCCTAAGCTTGATAGGCGTTTCAATATCCAAGTTATCATCTTTAATATTAATGTATGTACCTAGCTGTGACATTTGAAGATTGGCCACACTTAGGACCAATATTGACAAACCCATACTTGATTGCCCAGTTTTTGATCCAAGCTTGTCAAAACGTTAATAAACCTAGGCTTGGCATTTAAAGATTGCCTAAACTTTGAACCAGTATTGACAAGGCATTGCTTGTCTATATCAGTATTGGACGAAAATTGGCGAAACGTTAATGTACCAAGCTCTGGTATTTGAAAATTGGCCACACTTTGGACCATTGTTCCTAAGCTTGATAGGCGTTTCAATATCCAAGTTATCATCTTTAATATTAATGTATGTACCTAGCTGTGACATTTGAAGATTGGCCACACTTAGGACCAATATTGACAAACCCATACTTGATTGCCCAGTTTTTGATCCAAGCTTGTCAAAACGTTAATAAACCTAGGCTTGGCATTTAAAGATTGCCTAAACTTTGAACCAGTATTGACAAGGCATTGCTTGTCTATATCAGTATTGGACGAAAATTGGCGAAACGTTAATGTACCAAGCTCTGGTATTTGAAAATTGGCCACACTTTGGACCATTGTTCCTAAGCTTGATAGGCGTTTCAATATCCAAGTTATCATCTTTAATATTAATGTATGTACCTAGCTGTGACATTTGAAGATTGGCCACACTTAGGACCAATATTGACAAACCCATACTTGATTGCCCAGTTTTTGATCCAAGCTTGTCAAAACGTTAATAAACCTAGGCTTGGCATTTAAAGATTGCCTAAACTTTGAACCAGTATTGACAAGGCATTGCTTGTCTATATCAGTATTGGACGAAAATTGGCGAAACGTTAATGTACCAAGCTCTGGTATTTGAAAATTGGCCACACTTTGGACCATTGTTCCTAAGCTTGATAGGCGTTTCAATATCCAAGTTATCATCTTTAATATTAATGTATGTACCTAGCTGTGACATTTGAAGATTGGCCACACTTAGGACCAATATTGACAAACCCATACTTGATTGCCCAGTTTTTGATCCAAGCTTGTCAAAACGTTAATAAACCTAGGCTTGGCATTTAAAGATTGCCTAAACTTTGAACCAGTATTGACAAGGCATTGCTTGTCTATATCAGTATTGGACGAAAATTGGCGAAACGTTAATGTACCAAGCTCTGGTATTTGAAAATTGGCCACACTTTGGACCATTGTTCCTAAGCTTGATAGGCGTTTCAATATCCAAGTTATCATCTTTAATATTAATGTATGTACCTAGCTGTGACATTTGAAGATTGGCCACACTTAGGACCAATATTGACAAACCCATACTTGATTGCCCAGTTTTTGATCCAAGCTTGTCAAAACGTTAATAAACCTAGGCTTGGCATTTAAAGATTGCCTAAACTTTGAACCAGTATTGACAAGGCATTGCTTGTCTATATCAGTATTGGACGAAAATTGGCGAAACGTTAATGTACCAAGCTCTGGTATTTGAAAATTGGCCACACTTTGGACCATTGTTCCTAAGCTTGATAGGCGTTTCAATATCCAAGTTATCATCTTTAATATTAATGTATGTACCTAGCTGTGACATTTGAAGATTGGCCACACTTAGGACCAATATTGACAAACCCATACTTGATTGCCCAGTTTTTGATCCAAGCTTGTCAAAACGTTAATAAACCTAGGCTTGGCATTTAAAGATTGCCTAAACTTTGAACCAGTATTGACAAGGCATTGCTTGTCTATATCAGTATTGGACGAAAATTGGCGAAACGTTAATGTACCAAGCTCTGGTATTTGAAAATTGGCCACACTTTGGACCATTGTTCCTAAGCTTGATAGGCGTTTCAATATCCAAGTTATCATCTTTAATATTAATGTATGTACCTAGCTGTGACATTTGAAGATTGGCCACACTTAGGACCAATATTGACAAACCCATACTTGATTGCCCAGTTTTTGATCCAAGCTTGTCAAAACGTTAATAAACCTAGGCTTGGCATTTAAAGATTGCCTAAACTTTGAACCAGTATTGACAAGGCATTGCTTGTCTATATCAGTATTGGACGAAAATTGGCGAAACGTTAATGTACCAAGCTCTGGTATTTGAAAATTGGCCACACTTTGGACCATTGTTCCTAAGCTTGATAGGCGTTTCAATATCCAAGTTATCATCTTTAATATTAATGTATGTACCTAGCTGTGACATTTGAAGATTGGCCACACTTAGGACCAATATTGACAAACCCATACTTGATTGCCCAGTTTTTGATCCAAGCTTGTCAAAACGTTAATAAACCTAGGCTTGGCATTTAAAGATTGCCTAAACTTTGAACCAGTATTGACAAGGCATTGCTTGTCTATATCAGTATTGGACGAAAATTGGCGAAACGTTAATGTACCAAGCTCTGGTATTTGAAAATTGGCCACACTTTGGACCATTGTTCCTAAGCTTGATAGGCGTTTCAATATCCAAGTTATCATCTTTAATATTAATGTATGTACCTAGCTGTGACATTTGAAGATTGGCCACACTTAGGACCAATATTGACAAACCCATACTTGATTGCCCAGTTTTTGATCCAAGCTTGTCAAAACGTTAATAAACCTAGGCTTGGCATTTAAAGATTGCCTAAACTTTGAACCAGTATTGACAAGGCATTGCTTGTCTATATCAGTATTGGACGAAAATTGGCGAAACGTTAATGTACCAAGCTCTGGTATTTGAAAATTGGCCACACTTTGGACCATTGTTCCTAAGCTTGATAGGCGTTTCAATATCCAAGTTATCATCTTTAATATTAATGTATGTACCTAGCTGTGACATTTGAAGATTGGCCACACTTAGGACCAATATTGACAAACCCATACTTGATTGCCCAGTTTTTGATCCAAGCTTGTCAAAACGTTAATAAACCTAGGCTTGGCATTTAAAGATTGCCTAAACTTTGAACCAGTATTGACAAGGCATTGCTTGTCTATATCAGTATTGGACGAAAATTGGCGAAACGTTAATGTACCAAGCTCTGGTATTTGAAAATTGGCCACACTTTGGACCATTGTTCCTAAGCTTGATAGGCGTTTCAATATCCAAGTTATCATCTTTAATATTAATGTATGTACCTAGCTGTGACATTTGAAGATTGGCCACACTTAGGACCAATATTGACAAACCCATACTTGATTGCCCAGTTTTTGATCCAAGCTTGTCAAAACGTTAATAAACCTAGGCTTGGCATTTAAAGATTGCCTAAACTTTGAACCAGTATTGACAAGGCATTGCTTGTCTATATCAGTATTGGACGAAAATTGGCGAAACGTTAATGTACCAAGCTCTGGTATTTGAAAATTGGCCACACTTTGGACCATTGTTCCTAAGCTTGATAGGCGTTTCAATATCCAAGTTATCATCTTTAATATTAATGTATGTACCTAGCTGTGACATTTGAAGATTGGCCACACTTAGGACCAATATTGACAAACCCATACTTGATTGCCCAGTTTTTGATCCAAGCTTGTCAAAACGTTAATAAACCTAGGCTTGGCATTTAAAGATTGCCTAAACTTTGAACCAGTATTGACAAGGCATTGCTTGTCTATATCAGTATTGGACGAAAATTGGCGAAACGTTAATGTACCAAGCTCTGGTATTTGAAAATTGGCCACACTTTGGACCATTGTTCCTAAGCTTGATAGGCGTTTCAATATCCAAGTTATCATCTTTAATATTAATGTATGTACCTAGCTGTGACATTTGAAGATTGGCCACACTTAGGACCAATATTGACAAACCCATACTTGATTGCCCAGTTTTTGATCCAAGCTTGTCAAAACGTTAATAAACCTAGGCTTGGCATTTAAAGATTGCCTAAACTTTGAACCAGTATTGACAAGGCATTGCTTGTCTATATCAGTATTGGACGAAAATTGGCGAAACGTTAATGTACCAAGCTCTGGTATTTGAAAATTGGCCACACTTTGGACCATTGTTCCTAAGCTTGATAGGCGTTTCAATATCCAAGTTATCATCTTTAATATTAATGTATGTACCTAGCTGTGACATTTGAAGATTGGCCACACTTAGGACCAATATTGACAAACCCATACTTGATTGCCCAGTTTTTGATCCAAGCTTGTCAAAACGTTAATAAACCTAGGCTTGGCATTTAAAGATTGCCTAAACTTTGAACCAGTATTGACAAGGCATTGCTTGTCTATATCAGTATTGGACGAAAATTGGCGAAACGTTAATGTACCAAGCTCTGGTATTTGAAGATTGGCCACACTTTGGACCATTGTTCCTAAGCTTGATAGGCGTTTCAATATCCAAGTTATCATCTTTAATATTAATGTATGTACCTAGCTGTGACATTTGAAGATTGGCCACACTTAGGACCAATATTGACAAACCCATACTTGACTGCCCAGTTTTTGAACCAAACTTGTCAAAACGTTAATAAACCTAAGCTTGGCATTTAAAGATTGCCTAAACATTGAACCAGTATTGACAAGGCAATGCTTGTCTATCTCAGTATTGGACGAAAATTGGTGAAACGTTAATATGTACCAAGTTCTGGCATTTGAAGATTGGCCACACTTTGGACCATTGTTCCTAAGCTTGATAGGCGTTTCAATATCCAAGTTATCATCTTTAATATTAATGTATGTACCTAGCTGTGACATTTGAAGATTGGCCACACTTTGGACCATTGTTCCTAAGCTTGATAGGCGTTTCAATATCCAAGTTATCATCTTTAATATTAATGTATGTACCTAGCTGTGACATTTGAAGATTGGCCACACTTTGGACCATTGTTCCTAAGTTTAATAGGAGTTTCAATATTCATCTTTAATATTAAAAAGTAATATGACTTTTTTCTACTACTTTTACAGTTATATAGCGTGGAATCTTGTCGCATATGAGTTATACTTACAGAAATCGTCATCGAAGAAGATTGTAACATCATTTGCTTTCTTTCTCTCTAAATACATATCGAGAAATTTTAGAATAGGAGCAATAGAAATATCTATTCGGAGGTAATAGATCTGTGCCTCGATCGACATTTTTTGAGCAACGTCGTTACCGTTCCATGTAAAATCGATTATTATTGGAATTTTACCACTTAAAATGCTGCTACAAACTAGAAAAAATTAGATTAGGTGTTGTGGTAAACATCGACAATGGCCTCATTATGTACACAACATTTTTTTTCGAAATCAGGTTTACCTACAATGACAGAGTTTAAAATCAATTTTATACGTTTATTTATATGTATGTAAATAGTCAAAAAAATTATTCAATCTGATCAAATTAGTTAACATACCTTTATTTTTTATATATATTTGTTTATATTGTCTTGAACTAAAAGAACACTTTGAAATAGTTGTTTCTACCTTTTCTGGTAGTGCTAGGATTAAATTATTTACAATGACTTGTTTAAGTAAGAAAATATAACCATCTCAACCTAACAAAAAACAAATATGAGAATAAAAACCAAAATACATTTGTGTCACTGCGTGGTTTTTAATTGTTTATTGAATTAATTACTTGCTGGATACTATTATCGATGAGGCATAACTTCGCATGTGCTCTTTGTACGGACATTTAAACCCATCCTCTTTCTTGCAATTGTTTTGTTCCGAATTTGTCAAAACTGGCGAGTTTTTATTAAAAATTTTATTAAAATGCCAATATCCTTGATATCTAAAGTAGACGAGTCACAACTCGATCTTTTGGTTAAACATTTTAATAGTTAGTTTATTTCAGAATATTGTATTATTAGAGGAGATAGCCGCACCAATTACGGTACAAAGCAGAAACGTCTCTTTGGTCGTTTTCATTTGCAATTAACATTTTTTTATTACAAATTTTATAAAATCCTTCCTCTCAAAGCTAAATTGAACGTTTTAAGGCATTTCACGCATCTTTTGCCGGTTGGTGGAATGTATGCGTTTTTTTATTTATCATTAGAAATACTTTTAAAAATATATAAAATTGGTCCCGCAAAATCAAAGACATCTGAATCAGTAACTTGTAATTTACCTAATATACTAAAAGTTTTAATTGTTATGATAAGATGTTTTTCACTTCATATTAGTTTGATTTTTACAATCATGAAACTGATGGTTTTCATTTATGTACGTATTACTTACGATTTTCTGCATCAGTTTGATCATGTTGGATTTCCATGATGGTGGTATTAATTTTTGTACCAACTTCTGCTTGAATAACTTGCAGAACATCTTCCTTATACTTTTCTTGGTCATGCTCCATTAAAATTACTGAACAAATGGAAAATAACTGCATTGTAATCAAAGGTAATTTTCTTTTCAATTCATACTATTTATTTAAATTTTTATATTTATTACAAATAGAATTGCGATGAAAATAAACGAAGTAGTAAAAAAGATTAATGCAGACGTATATTGGGAAAAATACATCGTACCTACTGAAAGAAACCCTCAAATTCAAATAAAATACTCAAATTCAATATGTCACAGAATTTAGATATTTCATGGGATTTGCCAAAAAAAAAACTGAAACTAAGAAACAAAAATTTGGAAAACCAGCTGCAAAAATGTATGGTGCATTAAAAAAAAAGAGAAAATCGGCCATTTTCTCACCCTCAAACTTTGGTTTAAACTGAATGATGTTGAACATCTTGAAATTTTGTATTTACCATGCTCTTATCATTAATAACCATTTGGCACTTAGTTTAAAACAAAATTTTAGGTCGAGAGTATGGGCGCTTTTTAGCTTAATTTTGCCGCCACTGTTTCCTTACGAGGCGAAAAGTCTCCACGGCATCATCAGGATGGATAAAATAAGAAATGGGGATAATCGACAATAGAAGATAAGTTCTAACGATAATTGAGTAAAACCAAATGAATGGTTCGAGCATATGAGCAAAATGGAAAGCTAAAGGTAAGTAAGGAAAGCATGGAAAGCAGGTATAAGTACCAAGAAAGAAAGGGGAAGACCTCTATTTTCAACAAGTTATGGACCTGGCTCAGGGTCAAATGAATAGTAGATACCATAATACAGTAGAAGACAAGTTTTGACGATAATTGAGTAAAACCAAATAAATAGTTCGAGCATATGAGCAAAATGGAAAAGTAGAGGTAAGTAAGGAAAGCATGGAAGATAGGAATAGCTGTCAAGAAAGAAAGAAGAAGACCAAAAAACGCATTGACAGCCGAATCGAGTCCTTAGGGAAATTACCTCAATTTACAACAAGTTATGGATCTGGCTGAGGATCAAATGAAAGGTAGGTACCATAGAACAGTAATTAAAGCGCCTAAAGTTAAATTAAATCCTAAATAATATTATAAATTGTTGATTTATTANTATTTTCTATATGTAAAATTCCGAACTTTTCTGTATCGATATTATTGTATTATGGTTCTTAGTTGTTCATTATTTAGGTAGATGATGGTGGGTGGGATCGACAGAGGAGGTCTTCCCCACCACTGTACCATAAAAAGTTCGTGGCTATCTCACCTTCATAAAAAGTTATGGGGGTTAGATGCGAATGGGGGTAGAGCGCATCGAAAGAGGGTGGTCACCTGAGTAAAACCCCATAAAAAAATTGCGGCACCCTCACCCCCATAAAAAGTTATGGGGGTTAAATGTTGATTATTTTGACAATTTTCATATATTATAATTCAAATAAAATTCAATAAAAAAACTATTTTCAAGCGGGTGGAGGTGGGAGATCGAAGGAGGGTGGTCACTTGAACAAAACCCGATAACCTAACCTAACCTAACGTAACCTAACCTAACCTACCCTATTGATAAAGACATTTAAATAATGTTTTATATAACTTTCTCAATATTTCTATGTATTTTTCACTAGTTTTACCTTTGAATATTGTTCAAGAACGACTATATAAATATTTACATGCCTAGAAATGTATAAAAATTGGCATATTTATTACTTTGAACCCCTATAACTTTTTTATGGTACAGTGGTGGGGGAGACCTCCTCCTTTGATCCCCGAAGGGGGTGGGGGCCATTATCTAGACCTTTACCAATTACTTAATCGATTATCACGAAATTTTGTTAGGGGTACAGAAAAGGACATAGGGTATATTTCATCCAGCAAAAATGCTCTTCCTGAAGAAACATAAAATAGGTATATATATGACTACAAAAAATTCTTTAATAAACACATTATAAAATGATGTAGTCATCTCGTATATTAGTAGTAGTACATTATTATTGAATTTTTGTTTGTTTCACAGATAATTGAAGCGTAGAAGTTAATAATAAATGTAGTGTTTTTATTTTTCCCTGTGTGAACGACATTTTATCACATGCGAAGATATAATGTTACATTATGTGCAGACTTACTAGGTACAGATACAGTTTCAAGCGCAACAATTATCTCAAATAGCAAACGTTTAACACCGATATACATATGCATCTGTTGGGGCCTCTCACAAACTGTTTAAAAACTATTTATGGCATGAATTTAGTAAATAAATAAATTGATTTCAAAAATATTATTTACTGTGATATTAACATCGTAGTTGTTTTCCATACTTCTTACCATCTACTACAGGTAAGTAAAGTTCTTTATTTGTAAGAAAGTACCAGTTTATATTATACAGTTCGAATTTAAAACTTTAAGATGCTTAAACTAATTTGTTAGTCAATCATAAAATTGCATTTTTTTATGGCTTTATATATTAACTAGTTGAACCCGTCCAAAGTTAGATGGTAGAAATCTTTCTATTAGGGCAGGCTATTTCGAGGAACAATTCCCACTGTAAGGTTAATGTTTAGTGCTTATAGTGTGTAGTAGATCACACAAGTTAATCTGGGAAGAAGGTTAAGTTACAAAATAATTGTAGAAGTGTAGTCCTGCAAGGATTTTCTTTTTGAATAACTGTCCTTACTGATCGTCTATTAGTCTATACATTAATTACATTATTTCACTTAGCAATTAAGGCTTTTCTTGAAAAATTATTTTGCAAACTCAGAGGAGATTGATATTCAGAAAATTTTTATGGTTTTCGTTATTCGGAAGATACATTTTTTTGTGGATTCATACTGGTCGAAAAGGTCACAAAATTCAGTTCATATTTGTACTAGATTTGTTCCTTTTACTTCATTGCCCTACGTTACGACAAAAACGGTCATTTTTACCAACCAATTCGCTTTCTATACATAACATAATCGAACCCGTTTGTCGTCTTTGTCTTTCCAATAGTTGACGCGTGATTTTAATGAAAGTGGATCGACTCCATCTAACACTGTAGCATTTATTTGAAAACCGCGAGTTTCTTTTCGATATTACCAGTGCAATTAGTAATTGCACGTGGTAATGTTTGCGAAGGTAACAACAACCGTAATAATAATATTACGTATTACTTACGATTTTCTGCATCAGTTTGATCATGTTGGATTTCCATGATGGTGGTATTAATTTTTGTACCAACTTCTGCTTGAATAACTTGCAGAACATCTTCCTTATACTTTTCTTGGTCATGCTCCATTAAAATTACTGAACAAATGGAAAATAACTGCATTGTAATCAAAGGTAATTTTCTTTTCAATTCATACTATTTATTTAAATTTTTATATTTATTACAAATAGAATTGCGATGAAAATAAACGAAGTAGTAAAAAAGATTAATGCAGACGTATATTGGGAAAAATACNATTTTTAAATTTGACACTATGTATAAAAGAAGAAATATTAACTCAAAAATCTAACTCGATAAAGCCCCTTTTAAACAGCTGAAACGTCGGTATTCATATAAGAAATAAATGCTTTTATACTGTATTTTAACTTTGCTTTTATAGTATACTATTTTATGCATATGTAATATCTAAATGCAGTAATTAAGGATTTTAAAATTAATTTATAATTCTGAGGGTTGATTAATAATTCTTATGGTTATTAACTTCTAATTTAGTTAGTTTGTTTTATTTTTCATACAATAAACAATATACAAAAATACTTTAAGAAAAGTATAGTTTAGCTGCTTAATCGGATATTTGTCTACAAATCTCTTAAAGTAAATCCAATTGTAATGTAAAAAAATCCGTTATGATAGAAGGTAATAACGAAAACTGTTAAGTACTTAACGCAAATCTAGAGAAAGTGTTATAGATATAATAGCGACTACTCTTATGCATTTCGAATGAAAGGTGTACTATTTGTTTTCACAGGTTTATTCTGTTTTTATAGTTGCAATAAAATATACGTTTATGATTAGATGCATAAGACCGAGTAGTTGATGTTTTAATTAATTACAATTAAATATCAATTTTGACTAATTGTAATTTTGATGTTTTATAAAATTTAACGGTATCAATCTCCAATCGCAGCTTCATAATATATAAAGTATTTTGTAAATTGAGAATATGCAGTATAATCGTTTTATTGTAATACGTAGTTGAAGTGAAACTGTTTGACATCAGTAATTCCCGCGTAAACTCTTGATTAACGGTGTGAAATAATCAATCCCGGAAAGTGCAACATTCGAACCGTTAAAAGGATGATAGTTGTTTTGTGATCGTTGTAATACATATTACGTTTATATCTATTAAGTATCATTCATGCATTTCATTGAAACATGACGTAAATTTCGCAGTAGGTCACTGGCCGAAGGGATTTTTTTATAACCATTCTTGGATTGAAAAAGTTCTTCGAATATCGTGTGTACGTATGTACATGTATATAAAATAAAATTTGATTACAATTTTGTACTATATTGAACTTTTATTAGGAAGGGAGTCAGACAGGAATCAACACTGTCACCGCTAGTTTTTAATCTATACATCGAAGACGCGATCAACATCATTAAAGACGTAGGGATAGATATACAGGGGCAAAAGATTAGTATGCTTAGATTTGCAGATGATATAGCAGTATTAGCATATAGCAAGGGGGAGTTACAGATAGTTTAAAAAAAAGTGACAAAACAGTAGGTACTGCATGAAAATATGAATATAATGATAGGAGAAGAAAAATTAGAAGAAGTGACTGATTTTTGGTATCTAGGAAGTCAGATAAGTCAGGACGGAAGGAGTAGTAGGGATAATAAAGCAGAGGATAGCGCAGGGTCATGTACTCGCGAACTGTTAATTTATAAATTCGAAAAAGGTTGTTAAAGTGTATGTCTGGAGCGCGGCTCCGTGAGGGTGCGAAACATAGATGGTGGGCGCGGCGGAAAAGAAAAGGTTACAAGCGTTTGAAATGTGGTATTACAGGCGAATGATGAGTATACCGTGGACAGAGAAGGTTAGAAATGAGGGGGTTTAGAAAGAATAGGGGAATAGAGGTCAGTATGAAAGTTAATAAGAAATAGCCGAGATGAAATAGGTTGGTATGACACCTTCTCAGACATGATGGGAGTAGAGGTAGACCTAGATTAAATTACTTTTCACAAATATAAGTTAAGGATTGAAAGGTGAAGACTAGCTCAGGATAGGAAAGAGTGGAGGTGCGTGTCCAACCAGTCTTAGGACTGATGACCTTATGATAATGAAGCAATTTAACAGATACAAAAAATAGGAGACGGTTTCTCAAAATCTAGTCCTTGATGAAAACGTAATTGGTAATACTTAATACAAAAACCGCATTCCGTTTGCAACTTCTGAAGGAAATTGAAATTGCTTGATTTCACTATTTTTCGATAATTTTTTTTAATCGTTAACCAAAAAAACTACTTTCTTATTATTCACAAAGCTCCCACAAGTAATGACTATAAGCTTCCACTGCTGTCGTGTAAAGTTGAATTATGTATGTTTTTCTTCTTTTGGAACCTTCGAACTCAACTCACAAATTATAATTTTGATGAAAAATCAAAGAACACACGTCATTATTGAAATTTCACTATCTTTTAAACTACACCTAACTCGACCTTATTTTGAATATTTAAATTTTTGTTTATCTTTTTCAACCGTTCTTAATGCGCCCTCGTACGTGATTGTCAGAATATCATGTCAAAAATTCATTCAAATCGACCCCTTAGTTTCGTCTGTGCGTTAGTCAGAAAGTCACGAACCGCCAAAAAAACTGAAAAGCAAAAAATAATTAACCTTTATTTTATTAGCCTTAATAACTAAGTTCTTCAACTAATGTAAAGTATACCTAAGTAATTTTGAGTCGTCGGTAAACAATCAATAAACAAAGATTACTAGATTACTTTAAATTTAAATAAATAACCATTGCATTGTTAATTTGATTAATTTAGTGATCTTTGTTTATTGATTGTTTAGTGCCGAATCAAACTTACTTAGGTTTACTTACATTAATTGAAGAACGTCATTAAGGTTAATAAAATAAAGGTTTATTATTTTTTTGCTTTTCAGTACTTTCGGCGGTTTAATTTTTTTGTTAAAAAGTTTTTTGTATATATTGTATTTCGAATGCATTTCTTAGAGCAATTACGTATATTTACGTTTGAAATAGTAAATCATGTCGTACTTTGCATCGTTAAAACATCTTCCATTTTTCACATCCTTGGATAAGCTACTAGTAGATATTAATTTCGATTTAAATTTTTTTATAGTCGCGACCACAAACAACTAAGCGTGAAGTAATCGGCTTCCTGGTTTTGAGAGCATCGTGAAGACAGTTAGAGACCTCTAGAGAATTTAAGACTGGCTGCCGTGTCTTAGTCTATCAATTTTATTACCTGTACTTTTCTATTTCGAATCGTCGGTTTGTAAAGTTTAATTTATGTATGTATACCTACAATAAATATACGAGTACGTACATAACAGCTAATCATTACGTTACAACACAAAGTTATCTATTTACGTACTGCGTTACATACTGCAGTCTCTTCCGCTACTTATAAGCTGGTGTTGTCTGGTTAACGAGTTGGTTTAAGAAATACGAGAAAAAAGGCTAACATAATTAATTAATTTGCAACAGCACTAAAGCACAACGATTGATTTAACGCATAGAAAGCGTTATTTAACCCTCTAAAAGACATCGTTTCTAAACTTTTTTTAGTGTGAAATTTTGAGATGCTAAAGGCCTTGAATGTTATGTTTATAAGAATAAAAGAATCACGGTAACCCTAGGCAAAAATTTTCAGTCTATCTCTAGTCTCTTAGAGTCTTTCAGCGTCTTTGAGAACGTCTCTCACAGTCTTTCACAGTCTCTCAGTTATTGCCTAGTGTTTTTATGGATCTCTCGCAGTCTCTGTATGAGAGACTCGAACGATAAAATTGTTAATTCAGAGATTCGAGTCTCTCACAGAGAAACTGAATGAATAAAACTGAAAAATTGAGAGACTCGAGTCTCTCGTAGAAAGACTGGGATCTCTGTAATATGTTGAACTTTTTAATTTTAACCATGTCTATCGAGACACCACTTATTGAGAGATTTAAGTCTCTCGTTCAGAGATTCGAGTCTTTCGTTCAGGGACTGGATATGAAATGAGTATCTTTCTATGGGCGACTCGAGTCTCCCGATCAGAGACGCTAAACAGTTTTTTTGATAGCCTCTCCCAGCGACACCAGAGAGACTCGATGAGAGACGGAGACTCGCTTTCAGAGATTCTGGGAGACTGAACATTTTTATCTCGGGAAAGGAGGATGATAATGACTTTATTGGTTATAAAACCGACACCAATGTTTCGGCTCTTGTTGAGATATATATTCATGTGAAATATTGCAGACACCGATTATTTATAAGAATATTATAACTAACTAAAAAAATCTAGTAAGTGTCTACTACAGTTAAATTCTATGCATTTATTATTTATACACATTTTAACCTTGATAAAGTCTTCAATTAGAGGCGAAACGTTAGTGTCGGTTCTATAACCAATGAAGACAGTATCATCCTCTTTTACCTTGATTCTTTTGTTCGCATTAGAACTAGGGGAAGAAATAGCGAATTGTTATGTTTATGGTTAATTATATAGGTAAAGATATAGGTGTTATTATTATTGGTTATTTTGGATCTAACTAATACAAATGATAGCGGCAAGTGAAGTAGAAGTCTCTTTTTGTCTATTTTCAAATGTATTTATATCGGACTTATTGATACAGCATGATATTATGGAGTGAGTCAATCAGGACCCAGGTGAATGATAGTACTCATGTATTTAATCCTTCATTTTCACCATATCAAGTTAAATTTTAAGTAAAAGCTCTTGAATAAATGTCGAATAAATTAACACTTTTACAGATTTTCGTCACAAACTCTAATTAAGTATTCCCTCTATGATTATTTTATTCAGAAACGGTATTATTCTGATAAGTTTTTAATTGTTTACAAGAAATGTTCAGATTATCTCTGATGAAATGCTACTCACCACTGTTATCCTACTTGTAACAATTGAAACGCCTAATAGCACTATTTGTCTCAAAACAGTACAATTAATCTTAAAAGAGTGCATGACCTGCACATTTCAGTTCAAATTATTGTATTAAACAGTGGATTTGATGAATCAGGTATAAGGTTTCATTTTTATCATATTATTAGTCTATAATTTTATATTTTCAATGGCGATAAGACAACCTTGTTTACGTTTAAATCTACTATTGTTAAATCTTCTATTGTTATTTAAGCTTTGCAATGCTTAATATATTTTGAGGTAACACATGCAAGGGAAGAAAAAGTAGGGAAAGAGCGAATATAAAGATAGGAGACGAAAGATTAGAACAAGTGGCTGATTTAGGTATCTAGAAAGTCAGGTAAGTTAGGACGGAAGGATTAGCAGGAATATAAAACGGAGAACACAGAAATATTAGAAATTCGAAAAAGATGTATGTTTGAAGTGCAGCACTGTGCGGGTGCGAAACATGGACGGGGGGCGCGGCAGAAAAGAAAAGGTTAGAAGCGTTCGAAATGTGGTATTACAGACGAATGATAAGGATATCGTGGATAGAGAAGGTTAGAAATGAAGAGGTATTAGAAAGAGTAGGAAAACAGAGGACTCTATGGAAGTCAATAAGAAATAGGCGAGATAGGTTGGTAGGACACCTTCTCAGGCATGAAGGTCTAGTCAGAGATATATTAGAGGCGGAAATAGGAGTTAAGAGGAGTAGGGGTAGAGCTAGATTATATTACTGTTCATAAATAGTTAAGGATGGGGAAAGTGCTGGTTTTAGGGAAAAGCGAAGATTAGCTCAGGATAAGAAGGAGTGGAAATGCATGTTCAACGAGTCTTAGGACTGACGACCTTATGATGATGATGATGATGAATACATTATTAGACAAACAGCAATGACGTTGACCAGATTTAAAGTTTGTTCAAATTATAGTTAACTATTAGCAAGAAGATTCTACAAAAAGTGTATTACCTGCCAATTCTTCGAAATTCTATAGAAACGCCGCACCAACGAAATTATCAAAACTGATGATGCACTTTTTCTTTGTAAGAAGGTAATTTTTGGCACATTTTGGCACTTCTTGAAAAAGTTGACTGAAGATGAACTGAACGGTTAATTTGATTGGACGCTGACCGTGAAACAATCTTCGGTAACATTTTAGAAGCGTGAAAAATAGCATACAGGTTGCAAGATGTATACGTACTTAAGTAGGTACATATAATACAAGATAAAGGTATAGATTGAATTCGTTCGGCCAAAAAACTAATTAGTTTTTTGGAAGTAACAGTACTTGCCCGAAAAATATATATTGCAATTACAATAGACTCTCAAAACCGCGCTGTGGTCCGTCTAAAATAGATTTCGCAGGTAGCATTTTTTGTTACATTATTTTCTTTTCTGTTTTCAGTGAAAGTGTATCGAAAACACCACTGACTACTTCAGTCCAGTGCCATGAAATTAACCAAAGAAGGCAGATCGACTGCGAAATTTGTGTAATTTTGACCCATAGACGATTTGGTAAGTACCCAGTTACCATTTTTCATGTATATTAGCCATAATTGTTAGACTTAGTTACTCTTCAAGCTTTCAGAAAAGGAAATAACATTCCTTTATTTCATTTTTTCTAAACATTTTTACGGTTTTTGACCGATTGATTAATAAGATGGTTTATGAAAAACTTTTGTTAATTACTAATTAGTATAATTCGATAAGTACAGACATTTATTATGCGTCGACTGGGGTGAATTTAATAAAAATTAAATGCCATAATGAACTAATAATTCACATTTTTTAATTGTTAATAATTTAAAACTGAAGAGGTTTCGGAGTGTGCCCGAGCTGGAATGAATGTGAATGTGTGTCGATATTCAATACTGACAACTTGTTTTTGATTTTTTGTTTATAAAAGATCTACAAGACACAAAAATGCTTATAAGAAAATAAAGTTGATAAGTTTATTTTCAAAATTATCGAAAAGTGCTGTCAAATTTACTACCAAAATCAGTTCACAAAATGTTTTTTATTTCAAGTAGATTTAAGCTTTTTTCTTCGCGGAAATAATGCAAATATAGTAGTTTAGAAAATAATTTTGATTTCCTACTACATTTCCACCAACAATGCAACAATGATTGTTACCTTTTGCATTATTAAGTTTGATTATCTGGTGCAGGTCTTAATTAAGTTTATTTCCATTTACTTGTAACATTCTATACGGTTGAGCGATTTAAGTCAAGCCCTAGATTTTTACTTTGTTTCTGAAAAACAACGGAACTGTTGGATAGGAATATTCTCTTTAAACATGGATATTGTAGAAGTGAATAAATGTTTTGGCGAAAAATTCTTGGAAAAGAAAAGCGGCCATGAATATTTTATTAACCGTTTTTATTTTACCTAGAAAGCAAACGAGTTGGAAACACTGCAATAGTTTCAGATTTTTATCCAATCCCCGAATTAGAATAAGAAACTTTTCACTGGTTGCAATTCCAAAAAAAAACAAAAAAATGAAATGATTATTAGTTACTCTTTCACAATTTTTAATATGATTTCATTTATAGCCAGATAGAAACCGTTAACCTTCGTCTGTCGGTCTGTATGTCACATCTATGTCATCTTCTCATTATGTACCTTTAACCCAGTGACAAAAAATAAAACTGTTTAGATTATTGGAAAAACACTCTTTATCGACCCCTCGCATAGACCAAGGGAGGCCTGAACTTTTTTTTATTGAGAAAATAAATGTGATTCTTCAAATGCAACAAGGAACATTTGGTCTTTTGATTTTAGTCTTGAAATATTTGATTTTATCATTATCAAAACGTCATATCCTTGCAAAAACAAATGAACTATTTATTTATGCTTCTAGGTACCTATCTCTGCTCTTTGGCCAATTTTGAATGAATCTTCAATTAATTTATTTAATTAGCTTCAAAGTGGTCGTGAAATATTTGATTTCATAATTATCAAATATCAAATCATTTAAAAATATCTTATTATGCAAAAGTAAATAAACTGCTTATTACGTCTCTAGTTATCTATCTCTACCGTTTAAGGCAGGTAATTTTTGATGATTACTTTATTACATTAATAATGATTTAATTAACTTCAAAGCAGCTGCAACATAATTTCGATTTTATTGTTTGATTACGATTATAAATTATATGATTATCTGCCCAATTCGTAAAAACTGACAAGTTGAGAAGTTTCTAACTTCATCGTTGGCTTTGTTGCATCATTAATAGCATGCTGTATTTAAATAAATTACATATTGCACCGGTACGTTACGCATTCTACCTAGATTAGCTCACTCTAAAGTCTTATTACTTAACTTATTATTAATTACTATGCTGTATTATTATCGTTTTTGTTATTTCTAAAATGTATTTGAGCCATGTAAGAATGTAGGTAGCTTTTTACATTATTATTGCCATTAATTTATTTGGTCAATTAGAATTTATTAACAACAAAATAAGGTTCTTGTATGGGTAATATAATATAATATAAAAGGTTCTTCAGGAAGAACAGTAAATATTTTAGGAGATCTAGTGCTAACAATTTCATTAGTAAAAGATTCGTACTATAAATTTGTGCCCAGAAACGTTTCGTTGTAAAAATGTAGGGCTTTAAGTATTATTAGACATAATATTAATGTTTTTATTATCATCATGGTCGTTAGTTCTTCTTATTCTTCTTCCTATCTTGAACTAATCTCTGCATTTCCCTAAAACTGGAACATCCCACATTCTTAACTATTTGCGAACAGAAATCTAATCTAGGTCTACCTCTACTCCTCTTAACTCCCGTTTCTGCCTCTAATATGAGTTTGAATAGACCTTCATGCCTGAAAAGGTGTCGTACCAACCTTTCTCGCCTATTTCTTATTGACTTTCATAGAGTCCTCCGTTCTCCTACTCTTTCTATTACCTCTTCATTTCTAACCTTCTCTATCCACGGTATCCTCATCATTCGCCTGTAGCACCACATTTCGAACGTTTCTAACCTTTTCTTTTTCGTCACGTCCGCCGTCCAAGTTTCTCACCCATACAGCGCCACGCTCTAGACATACCTACATCTTTAACAATCTTTTTATACCTGCTTAAAAAACGGTAAAACTTAAAGTAGATTAGTACTAATTAGTAATCTATGAGCTTGGTTGAAGGTTTAAGGGTAGTTTTCCTTAAAAAAGGAATACGCATTTATTTGTATCTAAAATTTCCTATACTTTATATAGTCGGCTAGCTGTTAAACATATTTTGTCACTCAGAATGGTCACTTCTCAAAATATCTGCTGGAAACTCCGTCTAAACGCTTCTGTTTCGATCTATAGATTGTTTCTAAGTTTTCTAAACGTGGTTTTTATGTAGTGCTTTTTTAGATAAGATTTGTGCAAAAACCGGTGTGTCATCATACCTTTTACGGATGACATACCCTGCAACAGTCTTTCTTTGCGTTCAGTTGTAAACAACTTCTCTTTTAAGTTTTCTATGTAATTAAATTAACCATTAGACATTCGGATATTGCTGTTATTAAAAGAAAAAAATACGTCCTTCTTTGAATTGATTTTATACGGTTTTGTTTAGTGCCCAAGAGGAACAGGAAAAATGATAACTTTACAAAAAGCTAAGGAAATGAACTGAATGTTATGATGTGCCATCTAACAAGGAAGCCTGTAGAAGTTATTTTCTTGAAAAAAAGATATTTATTATCCGGGGTGAACTTTTTAAACGTGTTTGTGCGGTTTTGCAAAATAACTGAGACTATATTAACGGATTATTTTGTTACAACCAAAAACCTACATCATCATCATAAGGTCGTCAGTCCTAACTGATTGGACACGTACCTCCACTCTTTCTTATCATGAGCTAATCTTCGCATTTCCCTAAAACTAGAACAACCCTAACTAACTGCGAACAGTTATCTAATCTAGGTCTACTTCTACCCCTCCCAACTTCTGTTTCTGCCTCTAATATGTCTCTGACTAGACCTTCGTGCCTGAGAAGGTGTCTTACTAATCTATCTCGCCTTTTTCTTATTGACTTCCATAGAGTCCTCTGTTCTCTTACTCTTTCTAATACCTCTTCATTTCTAAACTTCTTTATCCACGGTATCCTCATCATTCGTCTGTAATACCACATTTCGAACGCTTCTAACCTTTTCTTTTCCGCCCGCCCACCGTCCATGTTTCGCATCTACACAGCGCTGCGCTCCAAACATACACCTCTAACAATCTCCTACTCCTTCCGTCCTGAATTATCTAACTTCCTAGATACCTGAAATCGGCCACTTCTTCTAATTTGCATACCATTATTTTTGTTTCACTTTTATTTATTTTCGTACAGTACTGTTTTATCAATACCGCTTCCATTTTACTAGATGCTAATACTGCTATATCATCTGCAAATCTAAGAATACTAATCTTTTGTTCCTGTATACCTATCCCTACAATTGTACTGTCTTTAATGATGTTGATCGCGTCTTGGATGTATAGATTAAAAAGTAGCAGTGACAGTGTGCATCCCTGTCGCACTCCCTTCCTAATATTTACTTCTCTATTGCATCCCCATCTCTACAACTGCCTGTTGCTCTTTATACAAACTATATTTTTCATTGAAATATTATAACAGGGCAGAACTGAATTAATGAAGATAAATGCCCAAAAATCTCAAAAGCTACATTTTTAAATAAATAACATTTTATAAAAATCAAGCAATTTTTAGTATAAGTCTACCACTAATAAAACATTAAGTTCTTCCATATATGCAATTTGTTTGCTATCACAGAGAAGTAAATACGATAGTAAATAATACAAAACCTTTAGCAATATTGTTCTGTGGATGTTGGAAGCGAAGGTGTAAACGAAGTAGATTTTCTAATAGTTATTTTCTTATTGTTAAATGGCATGAAATAGCCAATGTGTGTAATTTTTTTTTATTCGTATTCAAGGTCGTCTAAGTAATATAGTTAGCTATACGTGTTTACATCACTTTCTTTTACAAATTTCTTACAATCCAGCAAGGATTTCTTGCAGTACCTATGGGCAAGCTGTTTGTCCGATTTAGCACTATAATAAATAATAGAAAACGAATAAAAACAAGCGTTTTATAATTGCCCTACATTTATCCATTGTGTTCCAGTAAGAATATTACTTAACATTTAGTTACTAGGTGTACATCAAATGAATTTAAAATACACTTCATCTTTTAATTGATACAAAAATGAAAGGAGAGTAAAATCTCTTTGGATTCCATATTCTAGATTTCAAATATTGGAGAAACTATAGAAGAAATTGAAATTAATTGTAATACAATGTATTAATTTAGTTCTTTTTTAAATCATTGAACTACATACATTCTTTATGTTAGCTTTTATCAGTTGTTCAAATATCAGCTCCTTAGGAATGTTATTGCGATGCAATTTTTGTTCGAAATTGAGCAGTTCTGGTACGAATTTCGCGGCGACCCGTCTCATGCCCAAATCATTACAAATTTGATACAGATTCTTTGATCCAAAAATCAAAGACGAGCCAAAACACGTGCAAGCAAAGCCACTGTCAAAAATTAACTGAACATTCAACATACTTCGAAGACGCCATCAACATCATTAAAGACAGTACAACTGTAAAAAAAGACGTGCAAGGGCAAAAGATTAGTATGCTTAGATTTGCAGATGATATAGCAGTATTAGCATCTATCAAGGAGGACCTAGAGATAGCTTTAAATATACTAGAAGCGGTACTGACAGATCAGTACTGTATGAAAATAAATAAAAGTAAAACTAAAATATTGGTATGCAAGGGAATAAAAAGTAGGGAAAGAGCGAATATAAAGATAGGAGACGAAAAATTAGAAGACGTGGCTGATTTTAGATACCTAGGAAGTTAGATAAGTCAGGATGGAAGGAGTAGTAGGGATATAATGCAGAGGATAGCGCAGGGTCGTGTCGTCTTTAATAAAAAGGAGTCACTTCTATGCTCGCGAACGGTTAATTTAGAAATTCGAAAAAGGTTGTTGAAGGTGTATGTTTGGAGTACGGCATTGTACGGGTGCGAAACATGGACAGCGGGCGCGGCGGAAAAGAAAAGGTTACAATCGTTCGAAATGTGGTGTTATAGGCGGATGATGAGGATATCTTGGGTAGAAAAGGTTAGAAATGAAGAGGTATTGGAAAGAATAGGAGAACAGAGGACTCTATGGAAGTCAANGCGGCGGAAAAGAAAAGGTTAGAAGCGTTCGAAATGTGGTGTTATAGGCGGATGATGAGGATATCTTGGGTAGAAAAGGTTAGAAATGAAGAGGTATTGGAAAGAATAGGAGAACAGAGGACTCTATGGACGTAAATAAAAAATAGGCGAGATAGGTTGGTAGGACACCTTCTTAGGCATAAAGGTCTAGTCAGAGACATATTAGAGGCAGAAACAGGAGTTAGGAGGGGTACAGGTAGACCTAGATTAGATTACTGTTCGCAAATAGTTAACGATGTGGGGTGTTCTAGTTTTAGGTAAATGCGAAGTTTAGGTCAGGATAGGAAAGAGTGGAGGTACGTGTCCAACCAGTCTTAGGACTGACGACCTTATGATGATGATTCAACATGGCCGTGAAAAAAATCGAATATCGAATATACGTACGTGGCCTTCGGAAATCCAAAATTCGCCATACTACAGACTTCGTACGTTCAGAGTACATACTTTACTAAGACTACCCTATCTAGCTCATTTTGTTACTTAAAAAATAAATAATGTCTGGCGGCTTTGGAATCTTGGACAATAGACTTTCTAATGAAAAATGAATAGTAACATTTGGTTATTACTTTATGTTAATCATTTTATTAGAATTAATTATATTTTCTTTCCAGAAATGATGGGATTATCGAAAATTGCCTTCTTGGTCTTCACGATCACTCAAACGTTTCATTTTTCACAAGCAACGAGATGCATGGAAGAAGTTAATTACCACGAAGATTATTCCTACGGTTTCGACATTCGTTGTGAAAATCTTCATTCTCAGAATGTCAACGAGTTGCAATTTATAAACGTTTACAATGCAATTAAACTCACCATCTTCAATTCGAACATTACTATTGAAACAAAGCTTTTCAATAACATTCCCAGAATTCGGGAAATTGTTATAACGAGTTCGGTTCTAACGTTTGAAAACAACAATGGCACTACATCGTTTAGTAATTTGGAATACCTCGAAATTCTTAATCTTAGTAGTAACAGCCTCAAGAAGATTCCATCTTATGCGTTTAAATCGCTCAAGAATTTAAAGGGCCTGATTCTTTCTAATAACTTTCTCAATAAAATCGAAACTGATACGTTCAAAGACTTGAGCAGTTTGGAAACGTTAGATTTAAGTAACAATACCTTCAAGAACTTAAACGAAATCCCATTATGTGAAATATCCAATTTAAAAACTCTTCGATTGCCCAATAACCACCTGGAAGACATCAGTAGTTCATGTTTAACTTCGATGGACTCCATTGAAACTTTGGATTTAAAATTCAACAAGATTAAACATCTTCCTAACTTTTCCCATTTCCGATTCATTATCAATATCTTTTTGGAAAACAACGAAATAGAAGATTTAGACACAAGTTTAAGTTCGGTGAGAAGTCTCCAACATCTCAATCTTCAAAACAACAAATTACAACGCCTTACAGAAAAGAATTTGAAAGAAATGAAGAACTTAGCTACACTGAATTTGGGAAATAATTCTATAACAGAGATAACAGATACAACGTTTTCTCATAATCCAGGTCTATTGAGTTTAAACTTGGAAAACAACCGGCTGTTTAGTTTACGCGTAGGAAATATGTCAAGCTTAGAAGAACTGGTTGTGTCTCACAATAGATTTACGAATATCGTTCAGAACGACCTGAAAAATGTAAAGAAATTAAAAACCCTTCACCTAAGCAACTGCAGTATAGAGAACATCGAAAAGAATTCATTCAAAGAAATGAACAAACTAGAACTTTTAGATTTATCATACAACAGTTTACAATTATACGACAAACTATTCGATGGTTTAAAGGAACTTAAAACACTTGATCTTCGCAACAACAGTCTTAACAATCTTCCAACAAACTTGTTTCAAGACACTCCAAAGCTGAAACTTCTTGACATGTCTCATAACAGACTCGTCAAATTAAGTGACATTGAGTTTTCGAAGTTGAAAACTTTGGAAAAACTAAACTTATCATTCAATGCCCTTATAGATATCGACGAAGCGATATTGAAACCATTGATTGGTCTAAAAATAATCGATTTGGAACGAAATCAACTAACGTCTATTGATTATGAGTTTATACTGCAGGAATTGTTCAATTTGAGAACTCTTAACGTAAAAGGTAACAAATTCTCTTGTGAATTTTTATCAAAAATGATAACGTTCTTCCATCAAAAGAGCGTGAAGTACACAGTTCACACGGCTAAAACTCAAGACGAAGAAAATGTTGGAGGCATTCATTGTCAAGAAAACATGCTTCAGCCCATGAACAAAACGTTGAGTCATGCTGAGAGTATTTTGGTCAACGACAGTACCGTTCTTAAAGAGATTTACAGTATCACCAAAGACGATAGTGCTAAAATGAACGTGTGGTTGTTAACTATTATTTTGTTGGTTTGTTTGTTGTTTATTATTATCGGTATTCTGTCTTATCGTTTGTACTTTTTCATCAAAAGACGCAACTACATCTCGGAAGAATTCGAACTTCTTGAAGGGAAACCGTAATAGTTTTAAGGGCGAGGAACATGACATCGTGGTGGAAACTAGAACTAATTTTTTATAAACTTTTTCAAAAAAGAAAATAGTGATTAAGGCCGAAACATTTTGCGTGTTGTGTGCAAACATTTAATTGCTATTATTGTAAATACATGATTAAAATAAAGAAAACACTTAAAGATTGTGACATCTTGAGGTAGAAAATCTATTGTATCAGAGATTTTACTTGCAATTAGAAAAATTTTTATATTATAGATGTGATTTAGGATAAGGTAAGGCAGTACATTAATTATATTATAATTAAATTATATANTTTAAATCTTTAAAAAATGTTTTTTACATTATCTGATAATTAATAAAACAATATCTTAATAATTAAATAAACCAAATGTTAAGATTCGAATGAATTTGCTATTTCGAAGAAAATAATTAATAACACCATATTTTACAGTAAAGGTAAAACTGAATAAATATTGAAATATTTAATGGGTTAGTTTTTGAAAAAAAAAAATAAGAAGGTGCTCCGTTATTTATAACCAAATGGAAAATGACTTATGGGATGGGTACATTATTTTTGTATATATATCTTTTATTAAAATAGTTTTGTTGTAGAAAATTTATAAATAGATTTGGGTACAATAATTTTTGTTTGCCTAAACAACAAAATTTCTACAAAATGTAGGATTTTCTCTACAATTATTTCAGTGTGTTAAGTTTTTGTGAAGACTCCATTCCGCTCGCCTATTTATACAATAGTACTGTAGGGAAATTTATCGATCAAGATCATATAATTTTTAATATTTTGTCAATTCATGGTTGCCAACAAAATTTTGTTGTTCATTCGTACTTTTTTTATTAAATCTAAAGGATTTTTTAATTCCAAATATTTCGGAGATATCTCTGACCTTTGGGCAGGCTTTGTAATAACACCCCATGTATTGTTTTCACAAAATATTAGAATTTTGTGATCTCGGCTTATAAATTTTCTTTCAGTTAAGTATATAACTATTATGTATATTTACTAAACTTTAAAAGCAATTTTGTTGTTCATTAATTATAGATATAGAATTATTTTAATATTGTGTATTAGATAATACTTACTGAAGGAAAAGCTTTCCAGATCCAGAGCAATCGATAAAACAAAAATCCCCATGAAAATCGATGTAAAAATCAATTCCATGTTGCTGTTAACTTTATGCAAGAAATAATTTTTTGAGTAAAATATTTTGAGAGAAATAAGTTGTTGCAATAGTTTTACGTACAGGTACTTAAATGTAGTGTATTTTCTTCTAAGGTTTTATCAGAACAAATGCTTATTTACCAAGCTACATATGGGTAAACAGCATATGTCACGATGTAATTAAAAATTAATACCTCCCTGTACAAGTCGAGCAATGAGTTCTTTTATCCTTATGATATGATTATGTATAACTAGGCATTGAAGGAAATTTTCCCATGAAGTTTGATTTTCTACGACACAAATCTTTAATAATAACACAGTAAGAGTCTACAATAAAAAAAAAACGATTTTATTCAAACACGGGAAACGCTGCGTGTAGTCTCCTTTAAGCCCAGAATTATTGAATAATTTATTACCTTTCTTTTCATTCTGATGGTTATAAATCGGAAGACAGTTTTGCTTCGATTAAGTTGTTAATTTCTTTTACTAAATACTGGATGATGTCCAAATTAAATACATATATCTATATTAGAACAATAAAATCCTAAACCTCTCTTAAACGTTTTTGTTAACATAAAACACATTTCGACTCTTAATCTATCAAAGATACTGTTTGGGCTTTCGCCGCGTTCTTGACGACCAGACCGTTGTCCAGTATGTTCTGATATTTTTAGTGAAACACTGAATTGGTTTAACTCTATATTTACTGAAATTTTTCACTTTAAATAGACTATCGGTACAGACTAAAGATATGAACATGTGTCGACTTAGGCATTTGACTGTTGGATCGTGAATGCTCCATTCATTGGCATTGTGCCCAATATAAGAGCGGGCCGACTGGTTTCCGCTTATCAAATAATACACTAAACAATATAAATGATTAGGCGAATAATGGCTCATGATTAACATAAGGCCGCCCGCCTTGAAAGGCTATTTGACTTTCAAATATTTAAATTTAAACAAAAACCATTTGTCAAAACAATACAATTGAACATAAACAGTTTCGTCTCAATTCTGGTCTATTGGTAATACACTGATTTTATGTACACCTCTTTTTACAACACCATTTGACAGTTTGATACTCACAACACGAACCAAACCGTCCTTTCCAGGAAAAACCTCACATATTCGACCAATTTTCCACTGTAGCACGGGCAAATTGGTTTCGCGCAACAACACTAAAGCTCCTACTTGAACATTAGAGGTTGAACCAGTTCTCCATTTATTTCGGGGCTGCAAGGAAGTCAAATATTCAGAGGACCAACGCTTCCAAAAATGTTGAACTATCGCCTGCAATCGCTGATAAATTTTTAGACGGTTCAAAGGGAATGCTTCGCAGTTTTCCTCCGGCAATGTCATTAAATTGTCACCGATTAGGAAGTGGGCCGGCGTTAGGACATTAAAATCGTTTGGATCGTTGGAAAGCGGTATCAATGGCCTTGAATTAAGTACAGCCTCAATTTGACAAAGAACAGTGTATAATTGTTCAAATGTCAACAAAGCGTTACCAACAACTCGGAATAAATGTTTTTTCGCCGATTTAATTGCAGCCTCCCAAAGGCCGCCGAAATGAGGCGTTCGTGCAGGAATTAAACTCCATTCAATTGAACTTTCAAGTAAAAACCCCCGCACTTCGGAAGATTTGGATGACATATTAAGAAATTTTATAAGTTCATTTCTAGCTCCCACAAAGTTTGTGGCATTATCACTATATATCCTTTTACACAGACCTCTTCGCGCAATAAATCTTTTCAAGCCGTTTAAAAATGTTTTAGTCGATAAATCCCCCAACAATTCAATGTGCACCGCCTTTGTGATGAAGCAGACAAATACACAGATGTAAGCCTTGACCGTTTTTTTAGATCGCAAGGTACCATCTTTGATTGTCAATGGACCTGCAAGATCAACGCCCACTGAACTGAAAGGTCTAGCTGGTACAAGTCTGGATTTAGGCAGGTCGCCCATTTGAACAAATGTTTCTCGAGGTTGAGATTTAAAGCAATTTACACACCTGTGCAGTATTCGTTTGATGGCATTTTTACCATTAATAGGCCAAAATCGATTTCTGACTGCGGACAAAGTTGCTTGGTTGCCAGCATGCAAATGTCTAATATGCTCAAAATTAATGATTTTATCTGTGATATTATGTTTGTAAGGTAAAAGTATAGGGTGTTTTTTGTCGAAGCTTTCATAGGATTTCTTTATCCTACCACCTACCCTTAGGAGACCCTCGCTATCTAAAAATGGACTCAAAGCTAAAATTTTACTACTATTTGGAATTGATTTCTGGGTTCTCAAACATTTTAATTCAGTGCTAAATTCCTTTTGTTGCGCCATTTTTACTAACGTCTTTAATGAATTATCCATTTCAGTACTTGACAAATTCCCCGTTAGTTTAGTGGTTGGGTTTCGAGTATTAGTAATAAATCTGATAACAAAAGCAAAAACCCGCTGTAGCCTACTTAAACTGGAAAATTTATCAAAAACAGATTGATCTTGGCCGATAAAGAAAGTCAACGTAGATTTTTTACGAACTTCCGGTATTTCTTGTGGTTTATGCAATGGATGAGTTGATGGCCAATCACTCTTGTTCATTTGTAAAAATTCCGGACCGTGCCACCAAAGGTTGCACGCCAATAGCTTCCCCGGATTCATACCCCTGGAAACGACATCCGCCGGATTATCCCTTGAACTGACATGACGCCAATTTTCAGGAGCTGTGTGATTTTGGATTTCAGATACACGGTTCGCGACGAACGTGTTCCACGTGGTAGGTTCCGCTGATACCCAAGCTAAAACTATGGTACTATCGCTCCAATACACCTTTTCTGATGAGATATTTAACGCCTTTTCAACCTTAGCTACAAGTCTTGTCAAAAGTAAGGCCGCACAGAGTTCCAGTCTGGGCAGACTTATTGACTTTAATGGCGCGACCCTCGATTTGGCGCATAACAAATGACAATTTTTTTGTCCGTTTGAATCTTTAGTGAGTGCATAAACGCATGCACCGTAAGCTATATTACTTGCGTCGCAAAATCCATGATACGATATTTCTATAAACGCCGATATGAATGTTTGTCTAGGAATTTTGACTTCACTAATAGCCTTTAATTGGTCTCTAAACTGTATCCACAATGTATAAATGTCTTCCGGAACTGATTCGTCCCAACTGATGTTGCTTTGCCAAAGTCTTTGCAATAGCAATTTGGCCTGAATCGTAACTGGACCGATCAGCCCAAGCGGGTCAAATATTTTCGAAATCTGTGAGAGGATGTTGCGTTTTGTAATTGAAAGGTTACTATTAATATCAATAGAAAATTTAAAAATGTCATCATTGGGTTCCCAAGATAATCCTAATGTTTTGAAATCTTGATTTTCCGAAATTACATATTCTGCTAGATTTTTGGATTCTGACTTGGCTAAAACTTCGGGATGATTTGAACACCATTTCCTCAACGGAAAACCGGCGCTCGACAGTATTTCAGATATTTGTGATTTAAGTTCTATTGCTTCACGGACCGTAGCACTACCCGTAAGAAGATCATCCATATAAAAATCCTGCAAAATTACTTCGCTTGCATTTGGATAAACATGTTTGGCTTCTATGGCTGCCTGGTGTAAACAACGCACAGCCAAAAAAGAAGCAGGTGCGGTTCCGTATGTAATCGTGTTAAGTCTATAATGTTTAATTTTGTCATTTGGATCGTCTCGCCAAACTATACGTTGAAATTCCCTGTCAGATTCGCAAACGTTAACTTGTCTATACATTTTCTCGATATCGGCCACGATTACCACGTTGTGTTTACGAAATTTTAATAATATCGAAAATAAGTCGCGCTGAATGACTGGTCCTACCATTAAGACATTGTTTAAGGATAGTCCCGATGTAGTTTCCGCCGACGCGTTGAAAACGACTCTTAACTTGGTGGTCGTACTATTTTCTTTCAAAACCCCGTGGTGTGGCAAATAATAATTTGGACGCATATCACTAATTTCATTATTCGTCTCTTTGATTTCACTCATATGTCCCAACCTTTCGTATTCTCGCATAAAATCAACATACATCTGTTTAAGTCTCGGATTACTGTTTAACCTTTTCTCTAAAGATTTTAAACGATTTATCGCTAACTGTTCAGAGCACCCTAACTCCGTAACATTATCCTTAAACGGCAGTCTTACCTCAAACCTCCCGTTCTCCTTTCGCGTATGATTTTGGAGAAAATGTGCCTCGCATGCATTTTCTTCGTGCGTGTAAATTTTATCTGTATTTTGGCATTCTTCTTGCTGCCAAAACGCTTCTAATTGAGTTTGTAATCTATCATTCGAGATTTTTGTTGAATAACAATGAGAATTACTTGAATTACTAGTGACCGTAACAGGTCCCGAAACTATCCACCCTAGTTTCGTTTTTTGCGCAATTAATTTGTTATTTCCTATTTTAATTTGGCCAACGCAGAGTATATTGAAAAATATATTAGCTCCCAATANCGGACCATTTTTGAAACTTACTTTACTTTTTTGTAATAACTTTTATTTATTGCAGGTTTGTTCGCGTTGATGTTCTAAATACGTGTCAAAGATTATCGACGACCACATTAAAGTATGTTGTCTATCCTTCGGGATCAGTATTCTTTTTTTAAATAAAGGTACCCTATGTCCTTTCCTGTATCCCTGGCAGTATGTGTACAAAATTTCATGGTGATTAGTGGGGTAGTTAAGGCATGAAATGGTAACAAACAAACAAACAAATAAACAGACACATTCGCATTTAAAATATTAGTTAGGATATGGCTAATTTGCACTTGATACAATCATATTGGAATCAAAACTAATAAAGCGGCCTGAGGTCATAGGTTTTATGTAAATTTGATCAAATAAATTTCATAAGATTGTCTGAAAGTCGTCAAGTTAATAATAATTGGTTATTACTACATTAACTTGTTTTGTATAGCTAAAGCGTTCAGGTGGAAAATATTGCCGTGTATTTTAAGTGTTTGGTTTTATAATGAAATGAAATTGGAACTTTTATTATTGCAACTCAAAGGACGAAAAGGTTTTTGAACTGCCTTGTAAGTGGTCAAAATAATAAAAAGATCAGTTAAAATGAATTGTAGTTCAGGTAAATCAGAAGTAAATATTTGGAACCTTTATTTTGCCTTCAAGACTTCAATTTTTTATTTGTATTTATTAATTAATTATTCATTACAAATGCAACGTTGTCCATTGGAGAAAATTAAATCTTTCGATAAGATTGACGTAACAATAGTTTATTGCTGCTTTTATTTGTTATTGTTTTTCGAGAAATCGTATATAAATCCAACTGAAAATATAGAAAAAAATATTTATGGTTTTACGTTTAAATTAGTTAGTATTTTATTATTGATAATATATGTCATAAAAAGCTTTGTACTTTTGACTGTGACACCATGTTATTAATGGAATTTATTAACAGTGTCATATTCGAACGTATTTATGAAACTTACACACTGTTATTACAAAGTAACATTATGTATGATTATTTGTCTGATTAAGGATGATACCTTAGGTGTATTAATCAGAAATGTATAAAATGGTTTGTTTAAAAGTATTTTAATGCAAAATGCAAATACTTTTTTATTTTGTTATTTCAAATATAAAACAAAAATAGAATGCCCTTATGTATTTTAAATGCTAAACGCAAAATACGCATCTTCAAAATATTTTTTTCAAATAAATACTTTTTTGTAGTACACCAATTTAATTTTCTACATTTACTTAAGGATGTTTGAGAGGTATGTCAAAATGCTACGAGACAAATAAAAATTTGGAAGAACGTTCCTCATTCAATTCTAAAACTCCTGTAAAAATTACAAATCGATTCACTAAACCGTTAAAAAGTTATTGAAATTTTAAAAAATTGTAATTTTACACGTCATTTTATGGAGATTCGTTAACCGAACAGATTAAATTTATTTTTATTAACAGAAAAAAAGCTACCAGAAATTTCAAACTTTTATAATAAGTAACTTGAACTCTGGAGAATCACTTTAGCGTAAGGTTATTCAAATTCACTAAATGGTTATCGAGGAAAAAATGAAAAATTAGCTGAAAATCTCGTTTTTACTTGATAATATAATGATAATATTTATAATTGTCTGAAATAAATGCAATTTTAAAGTTTTAATTATTATTTAAACATATTAAAAAGTTTTACGCTCATTATTAATAGAGATTGAAACTAAATATTTTTTTGTTTCGAAGTTGAAATCAAGGCATATTCACTGCCAAAAGTCAGTTAAAAGTTTTCCATATTATTCGTTATTTCTTATTTTATTCAGTTTTTGGTCAAATTCCAAATTTTCTCTCAAACCTTATACTTTTTTTTAGTATAGATAGTATTTATTTACCTCATGATATGCTGCAAAACCTAATTAATCACGAATTTTTAATTTTGTGTACTCTTGCCTCCGATTGTACCTCCCAAACGTCCTTAAGTATAATTATTTCTTTAATTTTTAAATATTGGAGTTTCCCTCTTTATATTACTAGTTACGAAGACTGAGTATAATTCATATTTTTCTGTTTGAAGTGATTGAGATAAAGTTTTTCCGTTTTTATGTTATAGTTTTTTCACCAATAAATAATTCATCGATATGCTTCCTTATTTACCCTTGTCACCCTTTTAAATTGGAACAAAGACACTGATGCCAAAATAGTTTGTTTACTGTTAAAGATCAGAGCCAAAATAGGGTTTCAAATAATTTTATTCATGTAAAGTCAACATCAATCATTTTATATCAAAATATTTACAACCATTTTGATTCCGATCTTTTACTAATTTTAATAAGAGGAAGAAATGGAATCCATAGTTCCTTTAGCTTTGGGTTCATCTAATAAGTGAAGTTTCTCGAATCGTTTTCTAAGAATTTTGGATTATACGCATTTATTAGCACACCACAATATCTTGTAGTTGGGGGCTGTTTGTAGTAATTCATAGAATTTTGTAATTTCTTGCTAAAGGTACGATAAGGGGTGATTTGACAGATGCTAATATCAATTTGGATAAATTGTAAACATCGCTTTAATATTTAGATAAATTTTCGTTTTTCATTTTCTCCGTGTATCCGGCCTGATCCAAATCGGGTACCCGGTCCAACTCTAATTTTTTATTTTATTTTAATAAATTCACTATTCAAAATTCTAAACTAATTGCAATAAAATGATTTATCCTTTTATATAATTTAACTACAATGTCACGTTTTTAGTTAGCGTGTTCTACTATATGTAAAAGTATTGTAGAGAATACTAATAAAAAATGTTTGATACCTGTAAAAATCTCCCCCCTGATAGTAACCTTGACAAATATAGTATAAATGAATACATAAAAACTAGTATTGATCATTTTATCTTCCTGTTATTTAGTTTTAAGTTTCCAATCGCGTATTTCCCAGTCAACATGAAAACAATTGCTCATGTAAGTAAAGGCCATAAATAGAATTCAACACGCCGTAAAATTTTTACATTTACGTCTCTTAAACAACAAATTGTACATCCAAACTTAATAGCTTAACAAATAAGTACGTTTTACTGAAAAAAAGGTTCTTCAAAACCTAGCAACTGTTATCCTTTTTCTCTTTAAGTTCGTTATTTTGGATGTGCATTAAGACATATCAAACATATTTGTTATCCTTTTTTTAAATACGCCAAAATGTAATTGTTTTTCAACAACCGAATTACCATTTTGTTAAATTGGTGACCTTGGATAGCATTGGTAGAAATATTTATAAGGTAAGTGACACAAATAAGGCCTACCTAATTTGAAACACTCATATCTTGATAAATTATTGGAAAAGGTGATAAAATGTTGCAAGGCATTATTCTTTGGTTCATATATTTTAAGTAATTAAGAAAGCATATTGTAATTTTTTATCAAAAATTACACAAAAGGAAGTAATTCTGGAACCTTAGCCTTGGGCTTTTTTAAAACATAGTGATTGAACAAAGCCTGTATTCTTAAATTGTAGGAATATTGTCATTAGAGGACTAATTATATAAAAATATGTATTTCTGAGCTTTCTATCAAGTGTTTCCATGGAGATCCTTGAACAACTTTCTAAGTTATTTTACTAAATATTATGCTTAAATTGCTGGTCAGACTTGAAGTCGCATATTAACAACAAATTTAAAAAAAACGTATCCCAACAAGCAAAAATTAGAAAATTAACATATCTTCTCAAAAATATTATTAAATATTGAAAAATAAAATTATTTTGACAGGCCTTAATTAAACAAGGTAACTAAATAAGGCCTTGGAACTTAATAAGTTCCATAATTTGCTTAGGAACATTAATCAGTCTTACTGATAATAAGTAACTACTAGTAGAGGTAACTATAAAATTAATTTTCCTGACAATTAGGACATACAAATGCGTCTAGATCACTTTTTTGGTTTTCGTCTTGGAGGAGACATACTGAGATAATCAATCTGTAAATAAACATAATAAAGTTAAAATTCAACATAATTGCTATTAAGACCTAGGGTAAGCAAATAAAGCCTATTTTAAAAGTAGGCTTTATTTAGTACATTGTACTTCATATATGTTATAAGCAATATTCAATTCGCATATTCTAAAAATTACAATTTAAAATCATAGTTACCTATTTGATGAGTTATATTGTGACCCGTATACATTACTTGAAGCAAAACTTCAAAGAATAACGTATTAAAATTCGATAGAAATTACAACAAATTAATTACACGCAATGAAAACACCCGTTTGTCCCAAACAACCGGCCACGAGGGTCGCTGTGAGCGCGAGCGGGCCTCTCGCGCACTGTTTGCTGAGTCGTGGGGCTGTCGTCTATGTGTGTGTGAAGTATTTTTGATGTAAATATATTTTAAATGACTTTTTCGCACTACAGGCCTTATTTGAGCATAGGCCTTATTTGTATCAGGTACCTTATTTAAAATTGCGCATACAATTTAATTTCGTTAGAAAATTTTTAGAAAAATGTATTAATTTATTACNACATTGAAAAATTAATTATTTTAAAGGAATTTTGTATAATAAATGTTTTTACTTCCTTGTTACAGATGATATAACCCTGCCAAGTGGTTGTAATGTATTTATTGCTCCGTACATAACACACAGGTTAAAGCATTTGTATCCAAACCCCGAGGAATATAATCCAGAAAGATTTTTTTCGGAAAATGGCAAAAGTAGACATCCTTATTCATTTATTCCTTTCAGCGCTGGTCCTAGAAATTGCTTAGGTAATGCAAAATTGATTTGTAAACTTTTAAACAAATTGAAAGCTGAAATATATTTTTAGGATACAAGTTTGCAATGCTTGAAATGAAGACCATTATTTCATATTTACTTAGAAATTATTGCATACATTTAGACCAAAGGAGCGATAAGTTAAATGTGTTGTACAGGATAACGCTGCGTGCAAAAGGTGGAATTTGGATAAAATTAGAAAAAAGATAATAAGACATTCAACACCTACGGAAAATGTAACATTCAGAAAGTTTTGTTGTTATTATTTATTATGTTACTAATTTCGGTCTTAGTTTGTTTTAGTTATGTTATTTTTCTTTTGTTAAATAAATAAATAATTGTTGGTTTTCTGTAAATAGTGAAATAAACGTAGTTAAAAGAGAAGTAATGGTTCCGAATAATTTGTAACTACATAAAACACGTTTATGGTAATAGTACTTTTTGTTCTTCTTTTATATAAGGAATTGCTAGCGTATTTTCAGACAGCTTTACTTGCTTTTAAAGTGAAAGGACCTAAGCCATTACCTTTTGTGGGAAATGCATTACTAATTAACGACTCAAAAAGTAATTATAAATATTAACCACTAATCCTTGTTTAAATATATTCATTGAAAGTAATCTAAAATTGTCATTTATATTGAAAAACATTCCTAAAGTAATTTATTGAAACTTGCATTCATGGATTTCGATTTTGATATTATTAGGTAACTTCAACACGCCATGCGGAAGTATGAAATAGTTTGTTGATTGTTTTCCAGAATTAGAAAAGATTGGCAGTGACTGTTACGAAGAATATGGTCCTGTTTTTCGTGCGTGGATTTCCTTCATCCCTACGATTTTTATATATCAACCAGATCATTTGCAAGCCGTACTTGGAAGTAGCAAACAAACGGATAAGAATTTTCTGTATTCATACATGCACAATTTTATAGGAGAAGGTTTAATTACAAACAATGGTGAGTTGTTATTATTAGATGACCTAAAATTTTTTTCTTGAGTATTTATTGAGATATCTACTTTTTAATTTATAGGATACAAGTGGTTAACTCATCGTAAATATATTCAGTCGTATTTTAATATTAATTATTTAGACCGGTGCGTTAAAACATTTTCTAAACACTCAAAGATGTTGATTAAGAAGTTGGACAATAGTGATGGTCTCATCAAAATAACGAATTTCGTAAATGATAGTGTACTAAATGTTCTACACGGTGGGGTTTTTTTGTAGTGAGTTCTATTTTATAATTGCCCGATTTTCTTGTTATTATTTTAGAAATAGTGTTTGGTCTACAAGCCGAAGATGAGGAATTAAAAACTAAATCGCCGTTTAGAAAGTAAGTAGGTATAATAGAAATACATTGTTGTTTATTACGTATTTATTGACTGTTATTAGTTATCTGTATTTTTAGAGGGAAATTGTTGGTACACGAACGTTTAACAAAACCCTGGATGCTTTTTGAATTTCTTTACAGATTAACTTCTTATGGTGACATGGAGATAACCCAAAAGTCCAAATTGCAAAACTTTACTAAACAGGTAAACTTATATAAATTAACGTTTAATAAGAAATACTGTGCTATTTACAATAAAGGTTTTAGAAAATAAAAAAGCAAATAGAAAAGTCAATCGCGAACACAGTCTTTTGGACATATTCATAAAAATATCAGAAACCCATTTTGATTTTACAGAAGAAGACATTATCAACGAAGCTTGCACATTTATGCTAGCAGTAAGTACTCTTATTATAAGAATTATTCTAAATAACATCGTGTATGGTCGATCTATAATAAATACGTAAATCTATAAAAGAATACGTATAAGACAACTGACGAAATATTTGTATCTTTCTGCGTTTTTTTTTAGGGGCAAGATTCGGTTTCTTCAGCGATATCGTTTACCTTATACTTTTTGGCAAAATATACAGAATATCAAGACAGAGCCAGGGAAGAAGTGGACGAAATATTGGACAGTTGTGAAAATAATCCCAAAGTTTCTGATTTAAACGATATGAAATATTTAGGGTGCTGTATCAAAGAAGCCCTTAGACTATGTCCTAGTGTTCCGATAATTGCTAGAAAACTTTCTGAGAAACTGGTTTTAGGTAAGTACTTGATTTAGTGTTTTGAAAAAACATTCATCATCATCTCATCATAAGGTCGTCAGTCTTAAGACTGGTTGAACACGCACCTCCACTGTTTCCTATCCTGAGTTAATCTTCGCATTTCCCTAAAACTAGAACAATCCACAACCTTAATTATTTGCGAACAGTAATCGAAACTAGGTCTACTTCTACCCCTCCTAACTCCTGTTTCTACCCCTGATATGTCTCTGACTGCTAATACTACTATATCATCTGCAAATCTAAGCATACTAATCTTTTACCCTTCTATATTTATTCCTACACTTTTACTGTCTTTATTGTCTTTAATGTATAGATTAAAAAGTAGTGGTGACAGTGTGCATCCCTGTTTGACTCCCTTTCTAATATTTAATTCTCTACGTTGCAGCTTCAGCTCTATAACTTTATACAAACTAAGTATTGCTCTTCTATCTTTGTAACTCATCCCTACATTTTTAAGTATATTTAACATCATGTCTCATTTAACATTATCAAAAGCTTTTTCTATGTATACAAATCCTATGTACGCACTCTTTCCTTTTTCTGTCGTTTTCTCTATTGTTACCCGTAAAGCAAGAATGACCTCCCGCGTTTCTCTATTTCTTCTAAACCCAAATTAACCTTCCCCTAATAGTTTTTCAGCCCTTTTTTCCATCCTTCTCTGTACAATTCTAGTTAAGATTTTTTACGCATGGGAAGTTAATGTAATTAAATAAAAAACATTGAAAAATTAATTATTTTAAAGGAATTTTGTATAATAAATGTTTTTACTTCCTTGTTACAGATGATATAACCCTGCCAAGTGGTTGTAATGTATTTATTGCTCCGTACATAACACACAGGTTAAAGCATTTGTATCCAAACCCCGAGGAATATAATCCAGAAAGATTTTTTTCGGAAAATGGCAAAAGTAGACATCCTTATTCATTTATTCCTTTCAGCGCTGGTCCTAGAAATTGCTTAGGTAATGCAAAATTGATTTGTAAACTTTTAAACAAATTGAAAGCTGAAATATATTTTTAGGATACAAGTTTGCAATGCTTGAAATGAAGACCATTATTTCATATTTACTTAGAAATTATTGCATACATTTAGACCAAAGGAGCGATAAGTTAAATGTGTTGTACAGGATAACGCTGCGTGCAAAAGGTGGAATTTGGATAAAATTAGAAAAAAGATAATAAGACATTCAACACCTACGGAAAATGTAACATTCAGAAAGTTTTGTTGTTATTATTTATTATGTTACTAATTTCGGTCTTAGTTTGTTTTAGTTATGTTATTTTTCTTTTGTTAAATAAATAAATAATTGTTGGTTTTCTGTAAATAGTGAAATAAACGTAGTTAAAAGAGAAGTAATGGTTCCGAATAATTTGTAACTACATAAAACATTTGAAATGTGTTTTTGTATTGTACGATAATCCTCTATTCATTTATTAATAAAAAAAGACTGCAAAATTATTTATTGAATGATATATTTCGAAAATCAATTGGCGCAAAATAATGAGAATCATGCACAAGGAGTTTTGGGTATGCCAATAAATTTAATATCCGATTTGCAAAATTCAAAATATAAATGTTATAAAAATATTGTTTCTATCTTAAAAAGCAGAGATATGATTTATTTGCTCTTAAAATGCAAATACAAAATAAAAATACCTATTTTTTTTTTGCATTTAAATACTTGTTTGAGAAAAACACTTTGTAATTTATTTAAAACACTTTTGCAAACGTATCTTCTTTTTGTAAAATGCAAAATACATTTTTGTCGTTCAATGTTTTGCTAGTATTACCGACCAAACATTATATAAAATGGTCAATGACAGTTGCTCACATTAGCCATTGAATATACTAGAAGCTTAAAAAGGTGACAAACAGACATTCCATGAATGCCTTCTAATTCTTTAACTGAAGAGAGCCCAAACAATTCTAAACTGCTTGGAAATGGATAATCTAAAATATGGATCGATATTATTTTCCGGGTTCAATGTCATGATCCGTGGAATTTTGAAGTTCCAAATTGATATCAGCACCGGCCAAATCACCACTTATTGTACCTTTAGCAACGAAAATCTATGAAATTGACAAAACAGTCCTCAAAACAATATCGCATTGATATACGCCAGTTGTGTTCGAAAAAATTCACTTATTAGATGAACCCAAAGCTAAAGAAACTATGGATTCCATTTCTTTTTCTTATTACGAGGTGTAAAAGATCAGAAACAAAATGGGGTTGTAAATGTTTTGATATAAAATGATTGATGTTGATTTTACAACAATAAAATTATTTGCAACCCTATTTTGGTTCTGATCTTTCACGCTAAACAAACTATTTTGACATCAGTGTTTTTTTTTCCAATTAAAACGGGTGACAAAGGCAAATAAGGAATTATTTGTTGCTGAACTGAAGAAACTATAACATAAAGATAGAAAAAACTATATCACAATCACTTTGAGGAAGTTGTTTCACGACATTACTAGTAAAAAGTTTATGCTAGAGTGTATCGTACAGTCAGTTAGTAGCCGTGATACCTAAGCCTAAAACTTTTTGCTGTTACTGCACTATTCCCAGCCAATCCCCTACCGCTCTTCATTCGTGTATCCCTTCTACTACTTGAGTGCGTTAAATTGTTCGTTATTTATTAATTAATATCTCAGAAACTGTGTTGTAATAATTAATCAAACTTTTTTCAAAGAAATTATTAGACATTGTTTAACCTTTTTGTAGTTTTTTAAAACATTTGTAAGAAGGGATTCCAAGTTAACATTCTATTTCTAGTTAGCCTTGCCAACGCGAACTTTGAAATTAAATATCTCTGAAACTATATTGTCCAATAATTTCAGTCTGCACATATAGGTTAAGAATAACTTAACTAACATTCTGTCAAAATTTCAAAAGAATCCTAAGAAAACGCTTTTCATGGAACAACTACCTTAAACAGAAAAATGTGAATCATACCTAATCTTCGTAGCTGGTGATATAGAGCAAACACCACTATTAGCCTAGAAAAACTCCAATACTTAAAAATGAGTAAATGCCTGCATTTCATTTGTCATCATCATAAGGTCGTCAGTCCTAAGACTGGTTGGACACGTACCTCCATTCTTTCCTATCCTAAGCTTATCTTCGCATTTCCCTAAAACTATCCTTAGCTAATTGTAAACAGTAATCTAATCTAGGTCTACCTCTACCCCTCTTAACTCCTGTTTCTGCCTCTAATATGTCTCTGAGTGGACCTCCATGCCTGAATTCATTTGTATAGAAAAGAAAATAATTCTAGGATTTGGTTGAGTCCAAAAAAAATCATGCAAAAATTGCATTGGTATTTATTTTGCTATGTTGAAAGTGAAATAAATTGAAATAATTTTTAAATAAATAATTTATTCATCTTTTCTTAATTTACAATTTTACATAAGTAATAAGTATTTTTGGGGGCTATATTAACAGTTCATAATATTGTTGTCATCAAACAAAACCGTGACGTTTTCTTACTTTATAAATTAATAACAAACCTGAGCTAAAACTAGAAAACAATTATTACATGTCATAAGGCACTATTTTGGTTTGGTTTGATAAATAATCGAATTCAAATTTTTTACGAAACACGTTCGTTCCAAAAAGCCGCAGCTTTTTGGAAATTTTCTCGTCTGTGCTTGACCAGGTCGTGTTCTCTGCGAGACATCGCGGGAGAAGACGAATTATTTGACATTTTTTCCGACTGCTGTTGCAATTTCCTTCGGGGAATGGGCGAGGAGGGTAACGAAGAACATTTCTTTGCGACGTAATATTCATTTGAAAGTTCTTTTGCAATAACTGCTTGAGTTTTACGTAAAACTGATGGCGAAGGGAGTCGAAATTTAGCGGGACTCACGTCCTGATTTTGTTGAGGTTCTAACGCGTTACTAGTAACAGATTTCGCGGGAGACTTTGACGGGGATTTGAGGAAATTTTTTGGGGGCCTGTTGGTTGGTAATGGGGGTAATCTACATGGTCTGCGTGATATGTGTTGGGATTTTGGGGGGGATAAATCGGGATGGTCGAATTTTCTTATTACATTTGCAACTGATGTTGCTCTGTTTGGAATGATCGTAGGTTTTATGCAGTTTTTCGAAGAAGGTGACCTTCCTGTAAAATAGAAGAAAAAAATGATAAAATTTTAGGACGACGGTTTAGAAAAATAGGAATGTATTTTAGGGGATACCTACCGTTGACAAATTTTTTACAAAATTCTGCGACAGTCTTCATTATTGAAAGTAATTAATACATAAATGAGTTGGATGTGCATTAAGACATATCAAACATATTTGTTATCCTTTTTTTAAATACGCCAAAATGTAATTGTTTTTCAACAACCGAATTACCATTTTGTTAAATTGGTGACCTTGGATAGCATTGGTAGAAATATTTATAAGGTAAGTGACACAAATAAGGCCTACCTAATTTGAAACACTCATATCTTGATAAATTATTGGAAAAGGTGATAAAATGTTGCAAGGCATTATTCTTTGGTTCATATATTTTAAGTAATTAAGAAAGCATATTGTAATTTTTTATCAAAAATTACACAAAAGGAAGTAATTCTGGAACCTTAGCCTTGGGCTTTTTTAAAACATAGTGATTGAACAAAGCCTGTATTCTTAAATTGTAGGAATATTGTCATTAGAGGACTAATTATATAAAAATATGTATTTCTGAGCTTTCTATCAAGTGTTTCCATGGAGATCCTTGAACAACTTTCTAAGTTATTTTACTAAATATTATGCTTAAATTGCTGGTCAGACTTGAAGTCGCATATTAACAACAAATTTAAAAAAAACGTATCCCAACAAGCAAAAATTAGAAAATNCATTTATTCCGTGTTTTAAATGTTGTAGCTCTTTTCAAAAGTTTCTTAAAAGGATCTCATTTAGAATTTGCAGAAAATATGCGATAATTAACATGTAATAATATTTCACACACTCGAATTTTGGAATTAAAGCTATTTTTGACCAAAAATTGTCCAAGAAATAATTAACAATTAAAAACTAACGAATTCGAGCTTGCCTTCTTGATTTAGAATTTTGCAAATAACTGTAGACGTCACACATACAATTATTATGTAATTTTTAATGGTTATTTCATCATTATCTTGAAAAATGCAAAAATTACACACCAAACAACTCAAAATCAGCAAACTACAAGCAATACACACCAATAAATCAATACATCTACATATAAAGGGGCTGATTACGTAAGCACCAAGGGTGGGGAGGCTTTTTCTTATTTTTGATGACGCGGGGAATGGGGGTTTTGGATAATAATTACGTTAGCAATATTTATCTACTTATTTACTTTTTCTGATATTTTTGTGCAAGATCTTTGTAGGGTTAATTTCAATACATTAAAGTGAATTAAATTTTGAATTCATTTTTCTAAATATCTCACTGTTAGTAATGATTACACGTTGTTCTGATTGATTCTGTTACCTATCGTCGTTGTTGCTGCTGCCACCTCTCGTAGCTTAGTGGTAGTGTCGTAGAGTGCTCGTGCGTAACAATTAACCGGGTTCGATTCCCGACGAGGGCGTGAAAGCAGCAACAATTTTTTCTCATTAATTTAAGGTAAAATTTCATTCAAAAATTCAAGGAGGAGGGCAGGGCGTTAAAAATTACTAAAATTCTGCTTACGTAACACTTAAATGACCCCTAACTTTCTAGAAATGTACCTACCATCATCGCCATTTCAGGGTAAAATGTAGCCCTATGTAAATAAAAATGTATTTTAAAAACCTACCGTTTTCAGAATCACTTGAAGTATTTCTGCAATGTTTTGTTCGTGTAGAATTCAAAGCTTTATCTCCATTATCATTATTGTTTATATTCTTTTTCGAATAAAAATCGTGTTCAGTTTTCGCATTGCTGTCTCTATCAGAGAATCGAACATTCAATGAATGATTTTGATTCACCGAATTAGACACAATTACGGACGGTTTACTGTTTTTGTTTTCGTCCAAAACAAACTCACTTTCGATAACTCTTTCATCATCTTTTTCCAAGTTTCTATTGTTGTTATCATTAAATTCTGCCGGTTCCTCGCTAATGCGAAATTTTTTCCCTAGCAAAGGAGTGGAAGAACAGGAACAGGAAGTCGGGACTGATCCCCCGGAACAATCGCTTATCCCGCTATCACTCCTTTCGCAAAAGCTTTTTGAGTGTTTAGATCCATCTTTGCTAATAACGATTTCGGTTAATGATTTTCCAACGTCTTTTTCAATTTTGTCATAATTGTTGTTCTCTTCCAACGGGAATGCATTGTTTGTGTCTTTCTCTGTTTCGTTCAATGCTAAAATATCGATACGTAATGGAGATTCATCAAAGGCATTGGTTCGAGACAGAGTTGTCGTGGTGTTGGTGTCGCTCTCATCCTCACTTACGCTCAACATTTTTCCTAAAATTGCGGAAGTGGGAGATCTGGTTCTGTTGGGGCTCAAGTTCTTCCTGCTGGCCGAAAGTGTCGCCATTCTGCCGACAGCTCGGATGGCATTGCCTGTTTTCTGACGAATCAGAGCAAAAAGCAAACGCATGCAAAATCAAAACATAAAACACTCGAAAACAAATTGATAATAAAACCTGTATTAAAAAACAATGTCAAACAGTTAAAACAAAAGAATTCTAAACAGTTAAAACAAAAGAATTCTAAACAACGAAAACACAAGAATTCCAAAGTTGACAAAACACAAGAATCGCAAACAGTTGAAAAGCGCTTACCTGCCATTTTCTTCGTATAATAAACTTCTTGAGTTTGTCGGTAGAGAGGACAGTGGTGTTTTGGTGAGAGGTGGGATCTAACCATTTGTGTTTCAGACAACTTTCCGCTGACATTCTATTTCTGGAAGAAGAAAGAAAGATTAAAAAACTTTTGTTTAATAAAAGTCTAAAATTAAACTCACTCTTTTCTTTTGACGAGCAAAGCACTGATAAAGTCCTGCGCATTTTGCGAAATAGCTTCGAACGCTTCTTCGTCAAAATCGAACTCTGCTCGTGTTATATTCGCAAATGTTTCAGCATCATTGTCGCCCATGAACGGTGACAGTCCTGACAATCTAAGTACATAATTATGTAATGTCACATCGTAACCCGAGAGGACTCAAATACAACAGGTGGCATGTTTTTTGAACGAGTTTTAGATGAGCGCGTGAGCAAGTGTCACAATCATGTTCAATTCAGCATACATAAAGCCAGGAATAATTTTAGATCCTATATCCTATACATCGAAGACGCCATCAACATCATTAAAGACAGTACAACTGTAGGGATACATGTGCAAGGGCAAAAGATTAGTATGCTTAGATTTGCAGATGATATAGCAGTGTTAGCATCTAGCAAGCAGGACCTAGAGATAGCTTTAAATAAAATGGAAGCGGTCCTGACAGATCAGTACTGTATGAAAATAAATAAAAGTAAAACTAAAATACTGATATGCAAGGGAAGAAAAAGTAGGGAAAGAGCGAAGAGGCATGAAGGTCTAGTCAGAGACATATTAGAGGCAGAAACAGGAGTTAGGAGGGGTAAAGGTAGACCTAGATTAGATTACTGTTCGCAAATAGTTAAGGATGTGGGTTGTTCTAGTTTTAGGGAAATGCGAAGTTTAGCTCAGGATAGGAAAGAGTGGAGGTACGTGTCCAACCAGTCTTCGGACTGATGACCTTATAATGATGATGATGTGATGTCCCTTTATGCATATAAGAATGATTCAAAGATGTGATTTATTTGAAGTACTGAATATACATTTTTGCCATTACAAGTTTTGCTAGCATCACCGGTCAAGCATTATATAAAATGACGAATGAAAGTTGCTCACATTGGCCATTGAAGGTATTAGAAGCTTTAAACGGGAACAAAGAGACATTTCATGAATGCCTTCTAATTCTTTAACTGAAGAGAGCCCAAAAAAATCTAAACTCCTTGGAAATGGATAATCTAAAATATTGTATCGATATTGTTTTCCGGATTCAATATCATGGTCCATGGAATTTTGAAGTTCCAAATTGATATCAGCACCTGCCAAATCACCATTTATCGTACTGTTCGCAAGTAACTGCGAAATTTTATGAATTACGACAAAACAGCCCGCAAAACAATATTTTCGTTCATAATCACCCTACGACTCATTCCAAAAACATTTTGCCTGGTAATAAAGAGCAGTCTAGTACTAATAGATACTTACAAAACGTAGCATATGACGCCTACTGACCACATATCTGACTCGACACCAATGGGTTCATAATTAATGATTTCTGGTGGTATAAATTCTGGGGTACCAAAGAGGACACGAACGGGGTTGTTAGGATCCAGTTTCTGGGCAAGTCCGAAATCGATTATTTTAATTTCGTGAGAAGTTCTAGTATGACACATGATGTTTTCAGGTTTCAAATCCAAATGGACTATGTTTTGGCTATGCATGTAGGATGCACCTTCACAAATTTGGCGCATGAATAATATACAGTCTTTTTCAGTCAATGTGAAGTCGTCCGCCACCACACGTTCAAACAATTCACCGCCCGATATGCTAAAAAAAAATTAAAATTTAACAATGTTAATATAAAATATTAATTTGAAAATTAATTTTTTGAATTTTTTACCCACTACACGCTACCTCAAATTAATGAGGGAAAAATTGTTGCTGTTGTCAGTCACACCCCCGCCGGGAATCGAACCCGGGACCTTTGGCTTTACGCACCAATATGTTCTGACCACTACGAGAGGTGACAACAGCAACAACGACCAACCGACCTACACGGCTAACGATCCGTCGAANTTTCAGATTAATATTTCATATTAAACTAACTCACTTCTAAAAGTTTTCTAAAATTGTATGTATGTTTAACAATGTTATTTTACAAAGTCAAACAATTATCTTTAACTTACTATTCGGTGACCATAATCGTTTCTCGTGGATTTTCAAATGCAGACTTGAGTTGAAGCAACTTTTTGTGTCTGAGTTGGTTCATAATGTTGATTTCTTCTTGGACCTTCTCCCTATCTTTCGACGTACGACATCTTATGAATTTGGCGGCATATTTGTGACCTGTCGATTTCTCGGTTACTTTATGAACAATGCCGTATCGTCCTTTACCCAATTCTTCCAAAACTTCGTAACGATTTTTGAATTCCGAACCGGGTTCCAAAGAAACTTCCTGAGGTTCAAACGTGAACGAATCATCTACAAGTTTTTAAATTTAAATAAGCAAAATTCCAGATTTATACAGGGTCATTTTTCGTCCTCGACCACATAAGAGATCTTCAGGGCTGTTCTGATCCATACAATGAGTAGGTAATCAGAAAAAGCCCTGACGTTTTCTCATAAGTCAAACGTTGTCAAGAAGAGGAATACTTTACCTTCGTCCATAGTTCGTACAATGTCAGATTCCAGACTTGGAGAACTGGCACCGTGGATGTTGATGGCACGAACTCTGAATAAATATTTGGTATTGGGCTGAAGACCCTGCACCACGTAGCTAAGGGAATGGCAATTTTTAACAGCAGTAATCCAGTTTTTGCTGTCTCCAGAGGTATATTCTACTGCAAAACCTTCTACAATTCTACCCCCATCGTATGGCGAACTGCTCCAAGCGACAGAAACGGAACTCTTTGAGAGAACGGAAACGGACGGTTTTCCACTAGGAGGATCAGGACAACCTGGCAAATGAATAAGAATGTTCTTCTTAACTCGTAATTTACAGAAAATCAACCCAAAAATTTTGTATTCAATATAACAACATTTACTTGACCGCTTTTGAGGTGAATCTTACTTTAAAAACCCTCTAGGCGAATCGAAAACCCTAAACATATTGGAAATAACCGATGGATTTCTACCAGTGTACCTGCAGACACACACGTAGGTAAATTAAATCAGTTTTATCGAAACCGAACAATTAATGATTAACTGTAATGCCGCAGATAGACCCACACAGACGTATAGACTTTATTACACGTGCTTTCTGTACACGCGACCCGTCCTGATAAATTGGAGGATTAACAAAATAGCTGAACTAAATGAAAAATTGTTTTTACTTAGAATTTTACCCACATTAACATTCACGTTTCGATACCATTAAGCAGTCTACAGAGTAAATACATTGTTGATAAACTTACAATTAAATGCTTTATTGAAATTATACTTTGACACTTTCTTCATACGTATGAAGAAAATTTTAGCATTACATTATTAATCATTCTAATTAATATCATATTCTATTAACTACCCAATCGATCATCATGAAATAGGGTGCCTTTTATCCAGAGAAAATACTTTTCCCGAGGATTAGAAAGAAATTAGTTTTAAGTGGTCGATTTCAGACCTTAATTACCCAACCGATCATTATGAAATAGCGTACCTTTTATCCAGAAAAGATATACTGTTCTCGAAGGATAGAAAAATTAGTTCAATGTGGTTGATTTCACGCCTTAAGTACTCAATCGATCATCATGAATTTTTGTAGACACATTGACAAGGGTACAGAAAAGGATGTGGGGTACATTTTATCCAAAAAAAATCGGTTGTCTGTAAAGTCGGTTTACTGACGATAGTTGAACGTGACAACGTCATAAGAAAATACTGATGGAATGGTTTCATTTTTCAAAAGAAAATTTTAATTTTATTTGTTTGATAGATATTTTGTATGGATATAGAGAAGGAGGTAAATGGAAATGTATTATTGTATAGCAGCTGTCCACGCGGACGCATCGCTCACTCAAGTAGGAGAGAGACAGATGTCGAACGCTGCCGAACGCGGAGGCCGATTGTGCCTCTTTGTCGCTCGTTCCGCGCTCTCGCTTGCACTTCAAGCCTTAAATGGAACGCCTCAGAGCGAGGTAACGCCGCATGAGTCATGTTTTTTCGTGCGTGCAGCCCGGCTCCATCGAATTATAAGACGTTGTCACGTCAAAAAATACTGTTCCCCAAGAATAAAAAAAAATAGTTTTAAGTGGTCGATTTCAGACTTTAACTATCTAATCGATCATCATGAAATAGTGTATCTTTTATGTAGAAAAGAAATGCTGTTCCTGAAGGATAGAAAAATTAGTCCAATGTGGTTGATTTCACGCCTTAAGTACTCAATCGATTATCATGAAATTTTGTAGACACATTGACAAGGCTACAGAATAGGATGTGGGGTACATTTTATAATACTGTTCCCGAGGAAAAGAAAAATTAGTTTTATGTGGTGGATTTTATAGCTAACTACTCAATCAATCATTATGAAATTTTGTACACACATTAACAGGGGCACAGAAAAGGATGTAGGGTACCCTTTATCCAGAAAAAAAAACTGTTCCCGAAGGATAGAATAATTAGTTATATGTGGTTTACTTCACACCTTAATTACTCAATCGATCATTATGAAATTTTGTAGACACATTTATAGCGTTACAGAAAATGATTTTTTTTATCCAGAAAAAACTGTTCCCAAAGGATAGAATAATTAGTTATATGTGATTTACTTTACACTTTAACTACTCAATCGATCATCATGAAATTTTGTAGACATATTTTTGGGGGTACAGATAAGCACATAGGGTATCTTTCATCCAGAACAAAACATTGTTTCCAATGTTTTTGACAAGTAAATACCTATTTGACTTATACCTACCAACAGTCACGACATTCACAAAACCATAAACAGTCAAGCAAAATGTGAAAATCAAATTTATGTGAAGTAAAAAAAAACATAGTACGTGAACAACAATTAAGTAATTTAAATACACAATTGCATTGATAAAAGAGTAAAATGGGTGTACCTGTGTTTCTGTTGGAATTTTTCTACACTGTTCTTGTTAGATAACTCGCATACATGGTATTGAATTCCTTGTTTCACTTTCACTAATTAATTTAAATATTATTACGAAGATTGCACAACTAATGAAATTTAATAATTAAACTGTTCCTACTAAAACAACTATGTAGTAAATGCATCAATCAATCTCGATGTTAAGAAATTTAATTAACCGTAGGTGTTTTTTAATTATAACATACAAATGAACTTGCAATATGGATATAGGTAATTAAGCGACTGTTTGATTTTCTAAACATTATTTTATGATTAGTCTACCGTTAAGTTCTACTACTAATGATACCTCACGAACAAAACAACTTCTCAAGGTTTTAAGAAAATATGTTTAAAAAAATAAAAAATATGATAAAACACGCGACTGTTATCATGGTTTAATTTATAAGGGTGATAATTTTTTTATAATCCTTTTGTTAAACACGTACGTACTGAAATATCGCTTACAGGGTGTTGTAAGTAATCGAGGAAGTACACAATATATAATTTTACTTTGTGTTATTAAGACGTGGTTTTTCGCGTTACCACATTGATATGATAAAAGTTTATGCATTATCGGCATTTTCACTAAAAACATTGAGTTATTATTTCATCTATATAAATATTTTTTTATTACTTTCGNCACCTCCCAAACACATGCATGATCTGAACACAATTCTAGAGGTATCTTTGACACAGGATAAAGATACAGTAGGTCAGAGCCGGCCGAACCTTGACTTCTACAGTGTATGCAACAGAGAGATATATAGAAACGAGCGATACCTGTCTCTCTTCCTCGTAACTGAGCATAACCGGAAGGTTATGGTTATGGTTCTAGAGAGAAAGAGAGACAGGTATCGTTCGACACTATACCTGTGACACTATACCTATCTCTTTTGGGTCAAAGAGGAAACAGGACGAATATAGATTTGCAAACCTCTCTCATTTGCTCTTGCAGAAGCACCTAGGAGCATTAGGAGTGGAGTTTGACCGTCTCTGCAGTAGATCTCTAGATCTGCTAGAAAAACACTTTTGCAGGTCCTCATAAATTAACTTTATGTGCCCCTGAACAGCCATATACGAATACGGTTCAATGGCTTTGTTGCAGTATAAAGATCGATACAGTAGGTTCACTCTCCAGCCACGCCCATACATTCCTCTCTTGTCGACGCATCACCACGTCAGCTTAGCGAGTGAAGCGTCAGCAGGTGAAGGACGTATGGGTGTGACCAGGAAGTGAGCCTACTGTATAGAATCTTTATACTGTGTCTCTGACACCAATAATTTCGAGAAACTGCATAACAACATTCTTAAATTGAAATGAACGGAACAAACCCAAATACATTTTTGTAATTCATTATCCTCCTCTCTGTCAGATTTCAATATTCACTTACGTAACGTACTTCTTTTTAGTGTGGTGCCATTTACCTTGGTGAGATATCACACAATGATAACAGGGGTCGACTGAATTTTCTTATGATAATTCTGAGAATTCTTTTAACGGATATAGGATTCGTTATAGGGCCTTATGTGTCCTTTAAAACATTCGCAATTATTTCAGCATGTGCCTCGATTATTCCCGTAGTATGTACTTTCTTCATACCGGAATCTCCGTATCATTTAATTAAAAAAGGAAACAAAGATGAAGCCAAAAAGGTGATTAAGAAACTGGCTAATGATGCATCTGATGAAGCCTTTTTTGAAAAAGAGCTTAAAGAAATCGGTTCTTCAGTAGAAAAGGATATGAAAAATAAAGGAACTATTTGTGAACTTCTTACCAAAAAGATTTATAGAAAATCGTTGATTATACACATTTGTAAGTATATATTCTTTTGATAAAGTCATTGATTTAGACTTCCACTATTTCTTGTAGGTATAAAGTTGATATTACATTTTTGTGGTAATGATGTAATTAAATCGTATATGCAAACTATTATTAATGCAACAGGAAGTAGTTTGTCTTCAAGAAATGCTAGTGTTATTTTTGGAATTGTCAATTTTATCGGTGGTAAATATTTTTGTGTATAAACTTAACAATCAATAACAGAAATTAATACGAATATATTTTCAGCTTTGGCTTCCGGACAAGTTGTTGATCGTTTTGGTAGAAGACCCTTGCTCATTGTTTCCTGTTTGTTATGTTCTGTAAGCATGTTCTGTTTAGGATTATATTTTTATCTTCAAGACGTTACTTCTTATAACGTTGACATAATTTCCTGGTTGCCAGTCACCAGTTTGATGCTCTTTGAAGTGTTCGTTGCGATTGGTATTCTCTCCCTGAACTTCATGATTGCCTCAGAATTATATCCAATCAATATAAAGGCTGTCGCTGTGTCCACAGTTACGTTGCTGTCACAAACGTTGGGTTTTGGTGTTCAATTTGCGTTTCAGCCCTTGAACGAAATTTTGGGAGAGTATACTTGCTTGTGGTTCTTCAGTATTTGCTGCTTTCTAGGATTTCTCTTTGCACTCTTCATACTCCCGGAAACAAAGGGAAAATCATTTGATGAAATTCAAAGGATACTTAATCGGCAAAAAAGCGAGAAAGCTATAAATAGTAATAATCATGAAACTGGAAAATTCTGATGTTGTATTATAAACCGTACCGTTGAAATTAAATTTTTATTTATCTGGTTTGTCTTTTATTATGGGCACAATAATGTGTATGATTATTTTGATTTGCGAAAATCGTAGACTTTATATTATGTTTTTCGGCGGGAGATGGGGTGAGTACTCGCATAGCCGCTATCATACCCCTACTGATGAGTACCATGTAATGAGAGGCGAGTCAGAAATGAGTTAAAGGGATGAAACCCTCCCTAATGGTATAAAATTCCCTGTTATTTCCTTCGTTCCCCACATAGGTAGGCC